GGGGAAAAGTAATGAGAATCTTTTGTGTGAAGAAAGAAAAAAGCAGTGAAATGATGTGGGGCAAAATGCCAAGTTGTATCGAATGATCCTTTGGTTTTGAACCTTTTTAATACATGTTTTGAGCTTATTATATCCATTTTTTTATGACCCTTCACCTTGGCCTACATTACAACCTTGAAAAGTCTATTTGGATCAAGTGTGAATACCCAACTTGAATGATCATAGGTTGAGCAAAGACATGCTCATGATGAAGCAATGGAATCATGCTACATGAAAGATATCAACACTGGATGAAAAATGAGAAAAGAAAAAAAAAAGGGAAAAAATGAGAAAATAAAAAAATAAAAAAGAGATTCAAATTGAAAACCTGAAAGGGTGATTTTGGTACAAAAAAAAGATCCAGGTCAAATGGCTCACATGAATGGAAGATCAAAGAGATCTGAAGATCCCTCAAAGACTGGGGCAGAGTTCGCCAAGCTCAAGATGACTTCAACTGTAAATGGAATGAGTTTTTGAAAAAGAATCCTAGATTAATGTTGAAAATTGTCTGAATATTCATCATTTGGACATACCATCCATCCCAATGACATGTATCCAATTTATTTCGTTTCCCATTTGTTCTGTACCAAAATAGATCTTCATTGATTATCTTTGCCATAGTTCACTTTTTGTTCTCTTATTGTTACACCCTTAGAATGAATTGAGAAAATGCTTGATTGCATTGTACTTGTCAAGATTTGAAATGATAATGAATGAATGAATATGTGCTTAAAAGAGTCTTTATTCATTTGAAAAGAAATCTAAGATGATGGTGGTGACAAAATGGTAGAGACCTAAAAGAGATGATTTGGAAGGATATATGATGTGATCAAATGAAGAATATAATGGGGCAAATCTTGAAAAGTGATGAGTACAAAGATGAATTGGTCGATATGACTTGCAAGTTATGATTGAACAATCAGTGGACAGAGTTTATTTTGGAATGGTTGATGCTGAGACAAGGACCCAGTGATGGTGGATGAAATTTGTTTTGAAATTTGCTAGTGCTGAAAAATTCATTGAATGATGGTCAAGGGATGATCGATTGATGAAGCTTATTCCAAAGTATTGAGAAACTGAACAAGGAAAGAATGTGAGTGGAAAGGACAATTGAGAGCTACACTGGTTCGATCTTAGAAGAGCAATGCAATTGGATCCTTGAGGAATCAAAAGGCTTGACACCCAAGAAAGAAAAAAAAGAGCTTGAGAAACTTGAGTACCATACATTGAACAGGAATTAATTGGCCAACATTTGCATAATATGCATTGAAATTCATATGCATTTGCATAGCATACACTACTTTAAGGAAAGTATAGTGTACAAATTCAAGAAGCAGGGGTGTTCCAACATCCCACATGAAAAAGACAGATATGAAAAGACTTTGCAAGTTTGAGAAGAAACTTGTCAGGTAAGTTCCTAATCCTTGAAATAGGACGTCTCTTGGTATTAGGGTTGATTTATAAGACCTTTGGGCATAATCTCCTGAAATCCCTTCAAACACAACTTTCAACTCCTTTGGACATGATTGTCAAGGAGCAATTTACTTTTCAAAGTTCGTTGCCTCTGTTTAGAGGAGCAATTTACTTTCCAAAGTCGGTACCTCTGTTTAGAGGAGCAATTTACTTTCAAAGTTCCGTTGCCTCTGTTTAGAGGAGCAATTTACTTTCAAAGTTTCGTTGCCTCTGTTTAGAGGAGCAATTTACTTTCCAAAGTCGTGGTACCTCTGTCAAGGAGCAATTTACTTTTCAAAGTTCGTTGCCTCTGTTTAGAGGAGCAATTTATTTTTTAAAGTCGTGGTACCTCTGTTTAGAGGAGCAATTTACTTTCAAAGTTCTGTTGCCTCTGTTTAGAGGAGCAATTTACTTTCAAAGTTTCGTTGCCTCTGTTTAGAGGAGCAATTTACTTTCCAAAGTCGTGGTACCTCTGTTTAGAGGAGCAATTTACTTTTCAAAGTCGTGGTGCCTCTGTTTAGAGGAGCAATTTATTTTTCAAAGTCGTGGTACCTCTGTTTAGAGGAGCAATTTACTTTTCAAAGTTCGTTGCCTCTATTTAGAGGAGCAATTTACTTTTTCAAAGTCGTGGTACCTCTGTTTAGAGGAGCAATTTATTTTCCAAAGTCGTGGTGCCTCTGTTTAGAGGAGCAATTTACTTTTCCAAAGTCGTGGTACCTCTGTTTAGAGGAGCAATTTATTTTTCAAAGTCGTGGTGCCTCTGTTTAGAGGAGCAATTTACTTTCCAAAGTCGTGGTGCCTCTGTTTAGAGGAGTAATTTACTTTCCAAAGTCGTGGTACCTCTGTTTAGAGGAGCAATTTACTTTCTAAAAGTCGTGGTGCCTCTGTTTAGAGGAGCTTTAGTAAAAAAAAAAAACAAAAAAAAACAAAAAAACCAAAAAATGTTGAGTTGAGTCTTGATTGGGTGTCTACGTCTTTGCGCAATTTCTGTTTCACAGAAAATGTGCAAAGAGGGGCAGCTGTAGACACCCAATTGGGTCCGGCCCAGATCAATTGGGCCTAGCCCAAATGGGTAAGCCCAATTCAATTTTATCTTGTATTTTTTTTTTCTCTTTTCTTCTTCTTTTGTATTTTATGTATTGTATTATTTATTATTATTATTATGTATTAATATATGTATATATTTATTTATTTATTTTTTGTTAATATTTATGTGTATTTTATTATTTATGTATATATATATATTTTTTTATCTTTTTTATTTTATTCATTTTTGTATTTTTACTTATCTAATTATATATCTGATATATTTTTTTATTATTATTTATCCTATAATATCTGCTGATTTATCTTCTCTAATTATCTAGTTTTTTATTTTATTTTATTTTGATTTTGGAGGGCTGAGATTGAAGGCTGAAGAATCCCATTGGAAATGGGAATTCAATCAGAAGAGTCCAGTGGGATTCAAAGATTGAATTCCCGTCCAAGGAGAAATTGGGATTGATCAGGAACTCCTGATCAATCCTTATAAAAGGGACCCTCTGGAATAATGCTGAACACAGAGAAAACAGTAAGCAAAGCTACTGATTGGAGAGAAAAGGAGGCGTATAGGAAGCTAGGAAAAGTTTAGGAGTGGTCTGGGAGTGAAAAAATTTTTAGAAATTTTTGACGAAAAATTTTTCTGGAAATTTCTGGGAAATTTCCAGAATCCGGCGAAAATTTCGGCGAAATTTGAATTTTCCGACGAAAATTCCGGCGAACATTGAAGTTTCCGGCGAACTACCCAGTTTCCGACGAAGAATCCCAGAAATCGGATATCTTCCGGCCAACTTCCGGCGAAATTTCCAGATTCCGGCGAAAATTTCCAGAATCCGCCACCGGTGTTCTTCAGTTTTTAGAGAGAAGGGAGAGGAAAAGGGAAGAAGAGAGAGAGAGGGAGGAGCGTTCTGCCGAAAAACGAAGGGGATTGGCCTTTTATACCTTCTCAAAACGACGTCGTTTTGGCCTTAAGTACTTAGAGGATCGTGCGTTTTGGCCGAACCCGACCCGACTCGGGCGTCGACCCGCTTTCTGACCCGCGCGTGCCAGCCCCTCCGACCGAGCCGAGCCAAGCCGCCAAGCCGCTCCCCCCCGAGCCGTTTTTCTCTCCTTGAGCCGAGCCGAGCCGAGCCGCGATCCGAGCCGCTCCAGGTTTTTTTTTTTTTTTATCTTTGAAATTTTTTTTTCTTTGTTTAATTGTTTATTTTATTTTTTATTTATTAGATTAGGTTTATGTAATATTCTTTTTATTTATTTTTATTATTTTTTATTATTTTATTTTCTTTAAATAAAAATAAAAAATTCCAAAAAAAAATATTTTTAGGGAAAAGTTGAAAGTATCAATTTTCCTTAAAAGAAAAATAAATTTCAAAAAAAAATATTTTTAGGGAAAAGTTGAAAGTATCAATTTTCCTTGAAAATCAAAATTTCAAAAAAAATATTTTTGGGGAAAAGTTGAAAGTATCAATTTTTCCTACAAAAAAATTCATTCTTTCCTTCCTTTCTATCTTAATTTTGATTTTATTTTTTTTTCTTTAAATAATCCGATGACGGAGCCTCTGCAAGTGAAACAGTAGTTTTTCTTGCATACTCTTGAGGTGAGGGAATTTTCTCAATTTTCTGCTAAAAGTATTAGAGTCAATTGAGAATAATTTCCAATAATTAATTACTTGGTAAAATTTTAAGGCTTTTGGATAACACAAATTTAAGCTGGTACCATCTTTTGATGGGCGTTGTGAGGGTGCTCTAACCTTCCTCACACGTAACCGAACTCCCGAACCCTTTTCTGGTTAGCAGACCTGAACCTATTCTTTTAGGGACCCTTAATTCTAGGTGTTCCCTGAAAGGACAGATTCTATAGGTGGCCAATCGCACCTAGACAAAAAAGATTGGTGGCGACTCCCTAAAGCCAATGTCTAGCGATAGATCCTCGGATCTAGATGTTACGACACCCATAAGAAGAGATAAGGCTTACAATTGAAGATTAAAGAAAATGATGGCCAATGCTGACTGCTGATGTACCTTTTTATATCTTATCTGTGAAATGATTTTAGAAAATAAAAAGTTAAATAGTAGAAACTTGAAATGTGGTGAGAAGTGTATTTCATTACTAGTGCCTTGGTTCTTTACCATGATTCTGCTTGATTCAAAGGGTTATATGCTATTTTAGCAACTGTTCTGAGGGAACAAAGTCGATTCCCTTTTCTTGGGGGTGTGGGTGGTGGGTTGATTTGGGCGAAGGGGGGTTTTCTTCGAGCAGTAAGGTACAGAAGCAACATGTTGATAAATGTTCTTGATAAATTTGGAAATAATTTCAAGGAAATGTTTGTTGGCACATTTTTAACTTTTGTTTTTATCTGTTTATGCAAATGTGGACCAGAACAATCAAGAGAATTAATATTGTTCTGAACCATATTTTCTCACGATTTCTCACAGATGGAATTCTTTTCTGAGAATGGAACCAGCAGACATGACTTTGAGAAGCGTCAATCTTACCAATTAAGATCAATAGCACAGAAGCTGTGGATGCAGAGAAATATTCAAAGGAATTATCGGTATGCTTTTCAAATTCTTGTCATTTTCTTCAAAAATAAAGGAATTCATGTGGATACTTTTTAATTTATTATTATAGTTTATACCCAAATAGTCTGCGACTAAGGTTTAGCTGACTTGAGTAGAATTCATATTTTGAGGTTTGCATGCATTGACTATATGACAACTCATGTAGCCTACTTGTCTGACCATGGTCTATATACAGTGAGTTATCATTATGTGGACTTGAAAATTTACATCTTCATGCAGATACACAAAAATTATATTGTTTACGAATATTCTACACCGTATGGTTTCTTATTGCCAACATAATGACCATTGAGATCATCTATGCCAGAGGGTAGTGTGAAATCAACACTTCTGTGAAAGAATTAATAAACAATTGTTAGTCTGAATTATATCCTTTATGACAATGCATAAGTAATGAGAACGGGACTTTCACCTTTTCAAACCATAAAGGCCAAGTAAGAAATTAAGTTAGAAAACTTCCTTATGTTCCTTTCCATGGTGAATGATAAAATTGGGAAGGGAATCTTATAATTTGCTTTATTTAAGTGTATAGTATACATTGCTCTTAGAATACAAATAGTGGGCCATGTTGCCATATTATGCATTTTATGTAAAACTAGATTATGAAATTTGTGCCAAAATGGTTGACTTATTAACATGAGATATAAGTGAATTTTTAACTTGGTGATGTTACAGATCAAAGTACCTAGTGGACTCTCAACACAATTTGTTTTGACATATTCCAATGGGCCTTCACGTCCCTTTAGCACATATAATGTTCGGTAATACATTGATTTAATGATTAATATTGGTATTCTTTAAATTAATACTATCAGTTTTTTATTTTTCCTATCTATTTGTTGTTACATTTTGCTTATAGTTATGCATGTCCATGAGACTAATATTAACTTTGCTTTATATACATTCCTGATTTTGTTAACATATGATTGTGCAAAAGAAATATATTACTCTAAATATAATTCAATTTATATGTGATAGAAACTGTTTGGTTTCAACTCAAGAGCTCTAGCTTCCTATCAAAAAAGGAACAGGGAAATGGGGAAGAGAGATAAGGAGAGACAAAAGGGAGAGGGGGTTGGCTGGCTGATGGAATTGGATTTATTTTTTATCAAAAGTTTGTAGATATAACCATTAATTTTAAATGATGAAATAATTTATCTTTTGTCATGTGGTATACTTGTTTTTTTTTTTAATGTAAAATATAAACTCAATTAGTGTGCAAGGTTTGGGGGTCTAATGCATCTTTTTTTTTTTTCTTTTTACAATTTTATTGTTGTGTAAATTATGTATAAAAGATAAATATATATAATTAGACTGACATTTATTTAACCATAATACTTTTTAATGGAATGCTATTCATGTTCTTGACAGAATGCGGGATACTCTTGTTTTGACTATGAGAATGTTCCAGAACAAGGTACCTTTCTAATCAAACTTTGCTTAAGAGAGTTCCAACTGCTTGCATGTGGTTTTTGTCATAGTGGTGGTGCTGGTGGTTGTTTTTAGAGAGAACCTCTACTGTATACTTTTGAACAATTCACATCTCATTCCCAACTTAATTAACAAATTCAAGTTATGTTGCAAGGATGTCAATAAGTTGTCTTATACATGATTATGGTATCACATAGAAAACTTCACTTCTAGGGAAAGAATAAGACAACCAAAATAATTATCGATTATCATAGATTAATGACACCTTTAAAGGTGGAATTCTTACTCTAGGTTTTTTCTTTTTGAAGTTACACTCATAATCAAGTTTAGATTCATATAATCAACTGAATAATCAATTATTACATCATAATCAAGTTACAATCACTGAATAATCAACTAACAAACTATAAAATAACTAAAAAATCATACCCACACACAGTGAGACTTAAACCTAGGGAGCCAAGGCTTCATTGGCAATTCTTACTCTAGTTTTAAATGCAATCTCATGTCATCTTTTGATTTTCACTTAAAACAAGAGGAGAAAATGAACAAGTCTGTGTTGTTGTGCATGCTTACTACAACAAAATTGTCATGAGATGAATGGAACCATAAAGAGTGCTATTGTCATGGTGGAGTAACTATCAAGATGAGAATAAAATTTTAAAGGATTGAAAAGTTTGTGCGCTGTCATTCAGTTTTGGTTATCAGGATGAATTGCGAAAGTGAGAATATGAATTAATCATGCTCTGTTCTGCAGTACTTAAACAAAATATATTGTTAGAATTTAAGGGAAAGTAGTTCTATTGTTACCTTAATTGCTAGTGCATTTACATCTTCTTTTAACCCATTTTTTATTTTATTTTATTTTTGGAGCAGGCCTTGGATGACAAGAGAAAAGGAAGAGCATAGGCCCTCCTTAATTGAGTATAGCTTTAGCGTTATAGTGATTATTCATTGTTTGTTTTTTTATAGAAATTGAGAGGAAATAAACACATCAATGTTTGTATCTTAGTTTGAATCAATAATGAACGAACATTTCTATAATCTTCTTCCTCGGTTTTATTTTAGATTACATTGTTTAGTACACTGCTAGGATATGTACCACACATCTATCTATCGTTAGATCAACATATTGTCAAACTACTTCGGCCATGAGGCAAAAAGATTGACTTGGCACCGGAAGATGGTGGAAAATTAGTAGCTGAAGCAGCTGCTGTGGAAGCCGGCTGCCTGATTTCCTCAATTCGTAAGTCTTCTTAAACCATTTAAATATGACATTGGAAGCCAAATGCTATGACCTCAGCCAAAGAGAGTTTTGGATTCCTTCTGCATTTTTTATTTGATCTGTAAGTAATAGCATCTAAATTGCCTGTCTCTTAAGATTTTGACTTGAAACCTTCATTTGGGAGTGATAGTATTGTGATATTTGAAGTGAATTTTTTTTGAGTTTGCAGTCAGATCTTGTGGGTGATTTTAACTCCAGTTTTCATAGAATCCCCATTCATGTGGATTTGTTGCAATTTTTGTACCATCGATGGTCGGTTATTTTTTTGCATAGAAAGTTTCCAAGGTTACAACTTTCTGATATTGGACAATTTTAGTTGTACTGGTAAATTTCATACTATTCTGAAAAGTAGGACTTGTGTGTGTGTTATTTAAGCTCCATTATTTCTGGAAAAAAAAAATAAAGAATTCGCTTGAAAAAGATAATGCTGAAGGATGTATATATAGATAAAAAATAAAATAAAAGTTATAAGCATAGATATTATAATCAGATCAAACCTGTGCTTTATTGAACTGGATTGATCTTATCTAAATTAATGAAAACGACTTTAAAACCCATGTTTAGCTTTACTAGCTTTGTTGTGGATTAATTAAAGAGATGAATTATCTATGATAAGTAGACATAGGATAGCCTTTGTCCTTTGCGATGTATGGTTTAAACTGATTGGTAGTTTTTCAACATATCAGTCTAGTTAACCAAATAATCTATTTATGCACAAGTAAGCAATTAGCCTATAGGAATTTTCTCTTACACAACTTTTGGATAAATATTTATAAAGAAAAGAAAAAAAACAAAAAATTTTTTTTTTTTTAAAATATGTATATGTATTTTTTGTTTGAATAATTAAAATTAATAAAAAAAAATTTAACAATTATTGTTTGGATAAAAAGTAAAAAAAAAAAATTTATTATAATAATTTTTTCAATTATATGATTTCATTGTCTATGGTTTTAAAGCATGTATAGATATAATAGTATTTTTATAAAAATAAAAATTTTTGAACTTTTTTTTTGAACTTTTTTTCAAATTAGCGCATTAAAAAAATAAAGATTACAAGAGAAATAAAAGGTTATTAAATTTTTTTCTTTTAAATTAAAAATTCATTTAAACAAATGAAGGGTTTTTATATTTTTATTATTTTTTATATTTTTCTTTCCTTTTCTTCCTCTCCTCTCAATCCAAACAGTGTTAAGCATTAATTTTTGGATTACATATTGTTGTGATTTTGGTAAAAAAATTTTTTTAAAAAAATCATACTATTGCTCCAAAATCCAATTCCAATGCGACAGCATATAAACAAGTTGCTTAGGATATTAAAACATTGACAACCTGGTAGAACCTATTTATTTTGATCTATAAACTCTTTTTTTTTTTTTTTTGTAACTTATAGATCGTTAGTGCAAATTATAGAACCCCAACTATCTATAAGTTTGATAATTTGTATATTAATATAATATTAATAATTCATGTATCTATATATATTTTATATAAAAATTATGTCACAATTTGTATTAATATGAAAAATATAAAATATATATTTTTTATTTTATTAAATTCATATATGATTTTTATTAAAATTTTAAATTGTATTAATTTTAGTTTTTATATATTTTTTTATTATATTATTATATCATATTTTAAATTATTAAATTTAATTATAAACTAAATTATAAACTACTGAGACTTGGTAAATGCATCATTCAATTTCACGAGGCATAATATAAATGAACATTTACATTATCATAATATCTATGAGTAATTGTCCTTTAAATGAGATTAGGAGTCGCCGTGTCAAACAGAAGTTCTAAAGATGGATGCCAATTAATGTTGCTATGAAATGAACCCTATTGTCTCTGGCTTGAGAACAGCTGCCTCAACTCTAAGGTTATCTTCTTATCAGCTGCCTACCTCACATCTACCCTACTTTTATATTTATGCAATTGCACCCAAAGGGGATATAATCCTGTGTGACAAGTTTCATTTTTCAACAATTAGATTTAGCCATATCGGACAACCCACATGGTAGCATGTACTTGTACTAGCACAAATTTTTGAAACGTGGCAAAATCCCACAGGTTGAACCGGTTGGTACTGTGATCTGTTTTGTATAGGAATTGTAAACGACTCCCCTCAACAACACTTTACCAACCAATATGAAAGCTTAGACGGCACCTAAGGCAATTGATTTAATAAGTCTCTTGGATCCAACAGAAACATGGCCATTAAGTCAACAACCAATCAGCTCCCATTGAAGAAAAAAATTTTAAACAAAGCCAACAAAAAAATAATAATAATACACCCAAAGCCAAAGCAATGGGAATAAAGGATAAGGAGATGGACACAGCAACCTTCCATGTCCTCTACTTTCCATCCCTTCCCCTCTAAGCCCACTCCCACTCCCACTTTCCTTCTCTTTCTCTTTCTTCTTTTTTCTTCTTTTAAATACAAACTTGAAATAAAACAAACTTGTTTCAAAGATTATTGAACATGAGTTCTTCAGCTAGCACCCCAAATCCTTGGTCACCCTATGATACTTATAAAGATTGTTCACAAGGAATTTGTAGCATATATTGTCCGCAATGGTGTTATCTCATTTTCCCACCACCTCCTCCTTCTGGCATTGATGATGGTGATGATTCTGGAGCTGATTTCTCACCTCTAATTATAGCAGTAATTGGCATCTTGGCAAGTGCATTTATCTTGGTAAGTTACTATACTATCATCTCAAAGTATTGTAGACGGCGCAGACAGGATCAGACAAGCTTAGAGTTCAATGAAAGTAGGGAGGAAATGAATCATGATGGGTGGCAAGCTGGTTCAGAAGGGTTAGATGAAGGTCTTATTAAATCTATTACAGTTTGTAAGTATAAGAAAGATGATGGTTTAGTTGAAGGAACAGATTGTTCTGTTTGTTTGAGTGAGTTTCTTGAAGATGAGAGTTTGAGATTATTGCCGAAGTGTAACCATGCTTTTCATGTTCCTTGTATTGATTCTTGGTTAAAGTCTCACTCTAGTTGTCCCCTTTGCCGTGCCAATATTGCATCCATCACCAATTTTTTGCCTCATCAAGCCGCGCAGGCGACAACCATCCAGGAAGCTCCCCGGAATGTTGGTGCATCTGCATTGGAATATCAGCAAAGAAATGATGTTGTTACAGTGATCCAAGATTTGGAAAGTGGTGTTAGAGATGAGGCTGTGGTTAGCCTTGTTGTTGGTGATGATGTTCCAAAAACAGCAGGTGAAGATGTTGGTGATATGGGGAATGTGCAAGAAAGTTGGAGCATGACAGAAATTAGACAGGATGGGAATGGAATCCAACCATTGAGAAGATCATTTTCAATGAGTTCTTCTTCTTTGTTTCAAGGCCAAGTCCTGTCCGTTGCTGATATATTACGCATTAATGAAGAAGATGAGGATCTCCAAGTGGAACATCATTTGCAATCATCAATGGGTATTGGATCCTCAAAACAAGTTGATGGAGAATATTGCAAATCAAATTACAGAAGTGGGGTTTTCAATTTGGTTAGAAGTCCTTTAGCAATGAAGAGATCCATTTCAACAGGAAGATTTATGTTCCCCAGGTCTGAAAAAGAGAGAAATTATATGCTCCCCAATTGAAAAAGTCAAATTTTCTGTGTATAACAACCAGGTTTTTATTTTTTATTCCTCTGTAACATATTAGACTCACACAGTAAAGATCTCAGATTTATAAATTTGGACTGATCAGATCAGATTCTTATATTTGCTTAATCCATTCTCCTTTATGGTATCCTATCCTACAAATTTCTTCATAGAAATTTCTTTTTTTCTTCTGAATGGCCTAAAACTTCACTTCACTCTATTCTGTATGATGCAGTGAAGAATGTTCATTAGTTACAATTTGTTAAAGTCATTTCTTCAATTAAACCTCAAATGGAAAATGAAAACAGTCATTGATATGCAGAAGTTGTTATAATTAATGGTTTATTTTTATTTTTATGTGTTCATGAAAGTTCTCATCCATTATAGAGTTGGCAAATCTTAGTCTATGCCAGCTAATTAAAGTGAAAAAAGAAAAGGAGGCCTGGTAACAGCTTTCACTTTAAAGTACAGAACATAATCATAAGTAACAGAATGCACATATCAGTATCAGCATCGAAAAATCTTCTTTTTCTTCAAGGGAAAAAATGAGAGTTGAAGGTAAGAAACAAGAATTCAACATTGCAATAATGGAGGAAACTTTGCTAGCTGTTCCTTGCAACTTAATCATAGTAAACTTTGGTGGCCATATTTTCTAGAATGAAATAGGAGTTGACGAACAATTTATGAATATGCTTGATTCGTTAACTAAATGAATGTATCACAAATATAATAAAATTTGTTCATATTCGCTCCAGTTGCACCGTTAGGATGGAATCTAGAGCTCCCTGGAAGAAGCACAACATCAGCAAATAAATTGGGTTGAAATTTGCCATGTTGCCTGGCCACCTGCAACTGTAGCTCTTTTCTTCCATCTTTTGACAATTATTTTGCCCACCTTTTCTACAACATAAGTTCTTTCTTTTTTTCAGAATATATGTAATATAAAATATTAAAAGAGTATATATTTACAGCTTGCAACTAAGATTTTTGTCCTCCTAGACAATATTGGCATTTGGCAATGAACTTGATCCTTGATTTGGGATTTGGTTCAAGTGTGTTAGCTTAAAAGCATTGGTAGCAAATGCTGATCTGACTTTCTAGTTTTATATAAACATGGCAACTTGTCTAGGAACAAAAAAAAAAAAAAATGGTTGGAAGGAAGTTGGGGAATTAGAGCTGACTTTGCAATTGAAATTATTGGAACTAACATGATTGAGCTAGAATTTTATTAGATATGAAACAAGACAGGACAGCTGAACTGCCCCTCCACAGAAAACAAAAAATACCACTATGATCTCTTCATACAATATTGAAAACTCTTAAATTTTAAAAATTTGTGTATTAATAATTGTTTGATCTGATGGTTGATTTTTGATCTCTTAATTTCAATAATTATGATTTGAAACCTGAGAACTTTAAATATAAAAAAATAATATTAATGTGTTGGTTGTCATGATAAAGAAGGATTTTAAATTCTCCCTTAAAAGCTTATATATTCAATCACTTTAATCAATTCTATATGTATACCTACCAAAACTTTCAGTCAGTTGACATTGGATCCTTTTTCTGATAAGTGGGTGATAAAATTAATTAGGCCTTTTTTTTTAAAATTTTGTTTAACACGGTTAAGCTAGTTGCTATAGTAAAACATATGGTTGTTGATTATCTTTTCATGTAGATTGTCAAAAGTAATAAATTTACTTGATGGGTCAACAAACAAAATTTTCGTAAATTAAACTCTCTTTTGTAATTTTTTGTCAATTATTTTTTAATATATCATTAATTTTTTATAATATGATTCAAGATATTTTTAAATTTTGTTTGTATTTAATCTCTTTTTCCAATATTTTTGAAGACATACATCGGTCATATTTACCTTTCAATTTTGTTAACTCATTAATAATAATGGTGCTACTTGGATTGGTTTTTCTTGGATGGAGTTGGGTTTGGATCCGACAATGATTTGGATCAGTATAGGGTGGGTTACGCGATAGACCCACTTTTCTTTGGATCCAACCCGATTTATATAAGAATAAGATCGGGTTAGATCTTATCGAATTAAATTATTATTATTATTTTTATCTATTTTTTAAAGGATTATATATTTCTTAAAATGTTTTTATATAAATATTATTGTTAAAAATATTTTAATATTGATTAATGACACTTCATTATGTTTGTTCACAAACTAAATGTTTAAGTGCATTTTCTAATTTCAATTTCAACATTTGTTTTAAAAATTTTAATATTGATTAATTAATAAATAAAACTTCATCACGATATATTATCTAATTCCATATGTTTGATGTTCAACAGTAACGGAATTGTCCTCACTCATAAGATTTGAGAATTATGAAACTAAATAAAGATTTTATTATTTGATAATGAATTAACCTTACCTAATTAAAACAAAAAAAAAATTGTAAATAAATTCATATTTTTATAACCAATTTTTCGGGGCTTACAAGATTTCTACTCTTACCCAACTCATGAACCTCCTTTTCCTTTGCCATGGTTCCCTTCCAACAATGACCGGTTCATTTTTTGAACCAAACAAGCCACCAATTCTAGGTCTAATTCGGTCCGACCGATCAAACCGGTTTAATTTTGACAACATTGATTGAAACGTACATTTTTTTTTTCTTTTTCTTATCTCATCATTTGTTTTTTCTTTTCGAAATTCCTTTGAACGAAATGATTAGGGTAACATGAGTCCCACTTTGGGTTATTTTGGACCTTTGGGAGGAATAATAATGAAATGTACAGTGGACGCTTTCTTATCTACATAATGAATATTCTTTTATTTTTAATCATTTTCAATGAGATGAAAGTGATAGATTCAGCCACCCAATGGAATTTGTTCAAAACCAGTATTTCTTTGGCTTCATCTTGGTTTTCAGTAAAGTTTTAAGCTCCTCCTCCTGCCTTCATTATACAATTATTTCTTTCTTTTTTGTACAATATATCAAACAAGTGGGTTGGGATTAAGCATGAAAACAACTTCACGCTTGCCACCTTACCTCCACTTTAAGACAAGGTCAAACTAGAAAATTCCTTCAACTTGGTCTTGTAATTTAAGTAACTATATCTATAAAAAAAAAAAAGCAAAAAAAAAAAATTTCTTTATTTTTTTTCCCTTATTTTTCTTTATAAAAACTGAAAACGAAAAAAAAAAAAAAAAAGAAATTGGGAGGCTGCAGCTATGTGGCACTCTCAAGTCTCAATACTCAAAAAAAAATTATTTTAAATCACGAACTAAAGATAAAAAAAAATTTGTAAATGTTACAATTCAAATTTTAAATCTGATAAATGTAATCTTTTAAAAATGATAGTATAAAATAATCAATTAAACTAAAATCTAGATTCCAATACACTATTTTAATAGCTAGTTTCACTATGTATCGTTTTCCCTTCCATTCCCTTTTTCTTTTTTTTTTTTGGATCTCTTTTTATAATTTTTAATACTGTTTTTAAAAGATGAAAAAAAAATCTTTGAGTTTTGGATGGCTACCATTTGATCACTCCCAAAACTCAATTTTAATAGTTTGTAGATAAATAAATGAAGAATTCATTCTTCATAAATCTTTGTTTTTTTTTTTTCCAGGTATCATTTTTTTTTTAAGAACTAATACTCTTACTTTTTATATTCCAAATTTACTTTCATATTTTTTTAATCACGACATATGTTCAATTTTGTCTTCATGTATTCGATATTGAAATTGAGATTGCCCTATATCTAATTTCAGTATTAAAGTGGAGATTGAGTAGAACCCAAGTCCACCTTTTTTCCTTTTGTTAATATATTTTATTAATTAATTTATTTAGTAACTTATTACTTTATTTATAATTATAATTCCATATGAGATTGGCAGCGATTGCATAGGAGGATTATTATTCGTTGATGAGTTCAAACACTATTTTAAACTAGTTTGGGCAAACGACAATTTTGGATTTTATGTTTTAGAGTTTAATGGATTTTCGTTTTTGATGGGTTTCAAGAAGGGAAAATGATTTCGGATTTTTGGATAAAAGAAAATTTTTTTGGAACTTACATTATTCAGCTGAGGAAACACAAGATTTTGGACCATTCTTACTATTTTAATGAAAAAACCTAGCTGTCTCATAAATCATTTGCAGCTACCAAATACCTGCAAAAATGGGTTTGTCAAATGGGTTATAATATAATTAATTTATGTTGATTTTTGGTCTTGTTGGTTCTTTTATTTGGATTGCACTTATGGCTTTTATTAATACTTTTTTCCCTACTTAAAAGGTGGTGTTGGTGTATTGTTATATAACTCTGTCACATTTTAATAAAGTCAAACTTTGTTTTAATTTTGTACGATAGCTCTATAATTTTGCTAATATACTATTGCCATGACTCTTGTCTCAGAAGAGGCCTTGAAACTTTTAAATTTCAAATTTATGTTTCATTACGTATGAATTTAGTCCAATTTAATGTTGATGTTGTTCGATTTGTTGATTGATTTCTTCTATAGATGTGCATATTAATATAATATAATAGCTGGCATAATTATTGTTAATAAATAGTGAAAAATTTTTAACCACACTTAAATTCACCTATTATTTTTGTTTGTTGGCTCTTTCAGCTCACTTTGTTTATGTAATTAAAATTTTGGTCCAAGGGAAAGTAAATTGCCTTTGTATTCCATGGATAAATGTCACAACTTTCCCTCAATATTCTCAGCAAAATTTTGTCTACATTAATTGTATTATCATGCATTTGCCTTGAGAAATTGCTAATACTTAATAATCACATTTTTTTTCTCAAAATTAAGAAAGCTTCAATTTCAAATCTTTCAAAATTCCCACTATAGTAATTAGGAAAATGGGATTTGTGGGATCAATAAAATAATTATTTTTTTTTGTTACATCAGAAGAATAAAATCCTAATACAAGTAAGAGGAAGGGGGAGGCTTAATTCGAAATCAAACCCTTGATATCCTTCAAACGCTTTAAATCACTAGACTAAAAGCTTGAGGATAATAAAATAATTATAAGTGATATGTTTCCACTCTAACAATATTATTTGCACAACAGAATCACTTTCGTCTAGCATCTTACTTGTACATGTAAACCAAATTTCAAACGAGAAAAGGGTTTTCCATCTGGTCGTCAAAGAATTGTGAAGAAAACAAAAAAGCACACATTTGTGAGCAATAAAAACACCCTAATTTTTATCAAACATATATATAATTTCTTAAATAGAACTGACTATTGCAAATCACTTGATTAATTCAATCTGCAACATATATTACATGGAAGTCCATAGCTTATATTTTGGTGAGAATGGCAATTTTATTTTATTTTCTCTTCTTTTGGGAATGCATCAAGGAGTGACACGATGAGAAAATGAATTTTCTATTATTTTGTTTTTAGTTAGTCTCATGATTTTAGACCCATAGTGGAAAAGTTTAACAAGTTATGGCAAAGTGCTTCCTCAAATACTCAAAATTCCATGTGAAGCAGCATGTAGTTATTCTGTTTCTTGCAAAGGATGATGAAATTTAAAAAATAAAAATAAAAAGCCAAGTTTCTTAAAATGTACACAACGTGATTCGCATATAGTTGCGTGTGGACACGAAATTTTGTAATAATATTGTTGGAGTTCCTGCAAGAGTAGGATAACGACTGTTTTTTTTTTTCCATCCTAAAGCTATATAATGTTTTGTATGTATTCTTAATTTTAACCCCCACTCCCCCGGAAAAAAAAAAAAAAAAAAAAAATACCAACTTGTTCCCTTGTCTTCCCTTAAATTATGTATTAATTTATTTTATGTTTGTTTCTATCAAACACGTGTTAAATGTAAAAATTATTACGTTAAATCCGTATTCACATGCCAAACATGAAATATATATATATATACATATATATATATATATGTCAAACTCATAAATAATTTTTATTAAAGTTTTGAATTATATTACTTTTGTGTTTGTTTTTTCCATGATATTTTTTTATAGTATCATTATATCGTATTTAACATTATCAAACTTATCATTAAATTTCTGATTTTTTTTTATTCAAATCCGAACCATGAAACGATGATTTCAAAAAAAAAATTACTCCCTCTACCTCCCTTATTGATATCTTTAAAATTCATCAAAATATTAACATTGAATCTGAATTTTAAAATGCTGGAGGGGTTTTCCTTTTTCATTCTCATTTGCTCACCTATTTTGTATTTTCATTTCATTAATTCTACTTGTTCCACAAAACTAACCAAATTATGGAAACTTAAACTACCACGAAACCCTTAACTACACACGCATAGCATATGCCTTATTCATTAGCATAACTTGTCCCTCCAAAACTTTAACCATGATTTTCCATTGAGAAAACAAATGGGTTCATCAGAAAACAAAAACTATTAAATAATAAATACCAGTATGCTGCCCAAGGTTTAAAGATTATTTTTGTTATATATATATATATATATATATTAATAGTAGAGAATTATAAAATGATCATGTAAACTTATTATATACGTGTATTAAAAATATTAATTATTTATGAATGATACAATTTGTATCATGAAATACGTACAGGTGTAATTAATATATGTTTTATTTATTAATATTTGAGATATCAAAAAATATATTAATTTTTGTCACAATTATCAAATTTAAATCGGATTGATGATTGAATTGATTGCTTTTGGTGACCCAACTCCGAATTCTGTACGGTTTGTTAATTGAAACGTTTATGCAATTGACTTGAAAGACTCGTATTAACTTTATACGATTATGAGGAAACCGATGACCTGTAGAAATTTTTATAAACCCGAATCAATTAAATATGATTGTTCAAAATGATTTTAAAATCATTCCTAACTTATTTTTTATCCTAATTATTAATTTCTTCATCATTTTCACTAAAAAAATTATTTTTCTTAAAAATTAAAAAATATATAAGTACATTAAAGAAAATTAAAATGTCAATAAATCTTAGTAAGCTTAGGTTTTTTGTATTTGTTAAATGATATAAAAATATTTCTAATGCTTATATCATTTTTTTTTTAAAATTACACTCATAATAAGTATTCTAGATAATCAACTATTATAATTACTGAATAATTAATTATCAAACTATAACATAAGTAAACAATAAACTCTTGATCAATTTGATCAATTTTAGAGATTGAATTTCTGACAATGTGTATGTCCATTAAGTTTAATGACCAAATGATAATTTTTCCCGGTCGTAAAGAATGATTTATCTTATTAGAGTTTACAGCATTAATTTCTATTTAAGTGAATTTTTTCTCTCCTTGTTGAAGGGATAGAAAGAATATTCTCGGAAATTCTTTCGTAAGGGAATAAAATTCTTTCTTCACGTTTAACAAGGCAAAAAAAAATTTTATGCATACGTACATACATACGTGTATATATATATAATTAAGGTAGATTAATTCGACGAACATTACCATACAACAATTAAAACAATGGTTTCCGAAAGCAGCATTTCCTCTTCATATCCCATCAAAACCATAGTCATTTTGGTCCAAGAAAACCGCTCATTCGACCACATGCTAGGATGGTTCAAGACCCTCAACCCTGAAATCAATGGGGTAGCTGGGTCCGAATCCAACCCCATTTCCACATCTGATCCCAACTCATCCAGGATCTTCTTCAAGGATAATGCTGAGTACGTTGACCCTGACCCTGGACACTCCATCCAAGCCATTTACGAGCAAGTATTTGGCAAGCCTTGGAGCTCTGATGACCATAACCCACCCCATGAGCCAACAATGAATGGCTTTGCTCAAAACGCTGAAAGTACCGAGAAGGGAATGGCAGAGGCAGTGATGAAAGGGTTTACACCTGACGCAGTGCCTGTTTACAAAGAGTTGGCATTGAACTTTGCTATATGTGACCGGTGGTTCGCGTCGGTCCCGGCTTCCACTCAGCCTAACCGGTTGTTTGTGCACTCGGCTACATCACATGGGGCCACAAGCAATAACACATTGAAGCTGATCCAAGGGTTTCCTCAAAAGACGATATTTGAGTCATTGGATGAAAGTGGCTTTAGTTTTGGGATTTATTATCAATATCCTCCATCTACCTTGTTCTACAGGTAATTAAGTAGGTAACAAAATTTTCACATGGTTATGTTTGTTTTCCCTCATTTTTTTTCTTTAAGTAGCTTCCTAGTTATCTAACATGGTATGCATGTTTTATCATGCCTTCGATTTTTTTTTTTTTTATAAAGAAAGCCGTAACTTAAAAATAGAAAAAGAAGTTATAGATAATGAGATTTGAGCCTCCTCTATATCTAAGTTGTATAACCTTGTTTCTAGGTACAAATTAAGCCATTGTATTGAAGTCTTTGGCCCAGAGGTCACCCACCCTCCTTGAACTGGGAGAGTGGTTAGGCAACATTCAAATCCTCCTCCTCTATTGATTTAATTTAGCTACCCTTCCTACTTGTATTTATTAAGAATTAATGTGTGTTTTCTTCTTAATTGAAATTATGGTCTTGTTAGGGGTGATGCTTAAATTGTCACCATTAAAAGTTGTGTAATGAGAATGGTTAAATAAAAAAAATGAGTCTATTCCTATTGATATTTGTGTTTATTAATCTTAATTTAAAGTTAAAGTTGGAGATTAGAATGTTATAACGCTTGGCTTTAATTAATTAATAAATTGAAAAATTAAGTACTGGGTTTTTATTTTTGAGAATACTAAGATCTTAATACCAAGTCATATACATATTGAATTTATTATATGTGGCCAAAAATTTAATTTTGTTTGATGTAAAAATATTCATTATTTTTATGATTAAAAACTAGATACAAATTAAATTTAAAATTAAATTATCTAATATATTGTTCGTGAAAATTTCATCAAGAAATTAAAAATTGTCACGTATATGTTACTTTAGATTATATTTAAAAATTAGTAAATTATTATACTTATAAAATGACACATGACAAAATTTTAATCCCAATTGAAAAGTTTAAGAACCCCAACGACTTATGAAATAATAATTGCTTAAACTTAATTCATTTGTTAAGTGTGTAATTAAGCCTTTAGTGACATTTTAAGAAGGGTTAGCACTCGACATGTTAAACAACAATATTCTATGCTACTCTAAAACTATTCTAATCTAAAATAATTTAAACCCAAATGGTTTGCTCCAATTAAACTAGAAATGACTGAACCTAATACAACTTGCTCAATTACTTGCCTTTTAAGTTAACATTCGAAAACTGAAAAATGAAGAGGAAAGAAAAGAAGAGGAAAAAAAGACCCTTATAGGCCAAGATTTCCAACATCTTAATTAGCTTTTAAGGTATCAACGAGCCATCACGTTAGGGGTTACTAAGGCTTCTTTGTGGTCCACAACTCCACATAGTAGTTGTTGTCATTAGTTGCGTCATTTGTTGATAAGTGATGGACTTTTAATTTCGATATAAAAAAATGTATTAATTGCTTTTTGGAATATTTACTTTGACTTTATTTTGCAGGTAAAGAACCATCTGAATTGATGTTGATTCAATGACAATGACTTATTTTCTGTTTCTAAGGTTTACATTGACTGCCTTGTTTTGAACCTACCAACTGGTAAAATGATTCGAGTTATGAAACTATCCTAGTAATTACTGCTCTGCCTATTCCAGATTAGGCACATGGATTTATCAATTTAAAGTCATTTTTGTGATTTGATTCATAAATTCTTACAATTTTTTAAGCAAATGATACAAAAACTGGAAATCTACTTATATATTTAGATCAAGCATGCATGATTTATGATTTTATGTTTGATTAAGACATAAAAGATATAGGAAGCTCCCCTGCTTTTATGTACTCTGATAGAATAAACTCCATGTGCCAGGAATCTTAGAAAATTGAAGTACTTAAAAAACTTTCATCAATTTGATCTACACTTCAAGAAGGACTGTGAAGAAGGAAATCTGCCAAACTATGTTGTTGTTGAACAAAGATATTTCGACCTCTTATCGGTGCCTGCAAACGATGATCATCCGTCCCACGATGTCTCGGAAGGCCAAAAATTTGTAAAGGAAGTTTATGAGGCGCTAAGAGGTAGCCCCCAGTGGAAGGAAATGTTGTTCGTAATTACATATGATGAGCATGGTGGATTTTATGATCATGTTCCAACTCCTACAGCTGGGGTCCCTAGCCCTGATGATATAGTTGGTCCTGAACCATATTACTTCAAGTTTGACAGGCTTGGTGTTAGAGTTCCTACATTTTTTATTTCTCCCTGGATTGAACCAGGAACAGGTGAGTCTAATCTGTAGTACTATAAGGTACATTAATTTAGCTGTTGTAAGTTGTAACTGTAACTGTAACTTCAGGATGCCATCCAATAACTTTTGTTAATGAAATTTGCAGTGATACATGGGGCTTCAGGACCATATCCTACTTCAGAATTTGAGCATTCATCAATTCCAGCAACTGTCAAAAAGATTTTCAATCTAAAAGAGTTCCTGACAAAGCGTGATGCATGGGCTGGCACTTTTGAAGGTGTTATAAATAGGAAGGGCCCAAGAACAGATTGTCCAGGTAAATAAGCAAAGCCTCAATCCCCAACATTTAAAATAGATCTGTCAATTTTAAATATGATATGATAACAAGATAAGAAAAAATACAAAAAATGTGTATTTTGTTTGGCATGTGGATATCGTAATTTTCATGTATTACATATGTTTGACAAGAAATAAATACTACAAATATACATGAATTGTGTCTAATTTGAAGGAAACAAGCAAATTAGAATTCATCGCTTTATCACCTGAAACTGATATAAATTGCAGTTAAATTACCTGAGCCAGTGAAAATGAGAGATACTGAGGCTAAAGAGACGGTGAAACTAAGTGAATTTCAAGAAGAATTAGTACAAATGGCAGCAGCATTGAACGGAGACCATAAAAAGGAAATTTATCCACACAAACTTGTGGAGAACATGACAGTAGCAGAGGCTGTTAAGTATGTGGATGGTGCCTTCAAGAAGTTCTGTGATGAATGCCAAAAGGCAAAAGAAAGTGGAATGGATGAATCTGAGATTGTTGATTTAGGAAAACGGGCTGAAAGATCAAGATCCAAATCTTTCATTCACAAGATGCTTTCCTGCCTAGTCGGCCAAAATTGAAAACACTGCATCTTTTAATTTCTAGCAGGAAATCTTTCTTTGGTCTTGCTCATTAACTAGGGGCAAGATCATGGCTATATGAATTATTTTATTGGTCCACACTTTAGGGCATCCTAGGATAGGACAAGTAGATGATGATGTTAATTTGTTTGATTCAATAATGTAAGTATCCTGTTTGAACATTTAAGATCTACTGTCTAGCTAGATTGCACATACAATGTAATTTGCTTTTATATAATTATGTTTAGTTATATCACAATGAAACTCTAATTCTTATGGAATCCAAATGTTTCAATATTATGATGAAACTAGTTCTTTTTTTTCTTTCTTTCTTTCTTTCTTTCTTTCCTTCCGTTCTTTTGCATGTTAGAAATTACTATTAGGTTGTAAATAATTGTTATAAAGACTTGATATTATCCTTCAAGCTGGAATGACAACTGTTGCAACAATCATCTTGAGTTGTTTTAGGGGGAAAAATGTTGACATGGATAATGGCAATTCATTGGAGAGCAGATCAGTTAGGAGAGATGTGACTGGTAGCATAATTTTATTGATAATTACTAATCCAGGCCGTTGCTGATAAATTTTGCAATGTTGGTGGGCCTTTATCGAGCAAATGAACTGCATCTGAGATTGTTGTGGTGCAGGCAAACATGCCAGCAGAGTCAAGATCCAAATAATATTTTTCCTGAGTGAGCTGTGCATCAATTAATTTCATTGAATCAACATTTCTAGTTGGATTTATTAGATCAACTTGTATGTTAATTATGATTGCCTAATTCCATTTTTTCTAATATATCATTATTAGAAAACCTTATTAAAGAAAATTTTACAAGGGAAAAGAAAATTTAGGATATAAAAATATTTGTATAAAACAGAAATAAACAAAAGGCAAAACAAAAGTAACTATGTCATATGAGCAACGTGGACATTACATTATGTATTTTTCAGTGGCTCAAAGACAAAATATACAACAACGAATTTTCAACTCATCGATATCTCCATAAACATAAAACACAAACATAGCTATCAAAAACAGCAACCCACATTTAAAAATAATATATTTTCTTGCTTTTTATTTTTAAAAAATCATAGTTTAAAAATAAAAAAATAAATTATTGATATAAAATTAAAAAATTAGACCTAAATCATTAGGTAACTAGATAAATCAATTGTATTAATGCTCGATTGAGTTAATAAAACTCATGATCCTTAATCTTTAAATCAAATTTTATTTGATCTCTTATCTTTAAAAATTTCTAATTAAGTTCTAATTATTCAAAGTTATCTTAATTTGATCATTTCATTTATTAAACTGTCTAAATGACAATAAATATGAACTGAGGTCATGTAGATACTGTCAGTTAATATCTCAAATGACAGACGTAAGGATCAAAATAGAATTTTATTCAAAGTTTAGAAATTATATTAAAATTTATTTTGAAATATATTTTTTATAAAATATTAAATTTAAAATAATATTTTTATATTTTTATTGTAATATAATTTATTATTTAATTTTTTTGGTAAAAAATAGATATTCCAAAAATAAAATTACAATAAAAATTTTAAAATATTTTTCAAAAAAATTACATATCATTTTAAAAATAAAAAGCAACTTAAATTAAAATATTATTTTACCAACAAATCATATTGAAAAATATTATTTTCTATCCAAAAAATTTATTTTCTATTAAAACTATTCAATATCTTTTTCTTTTCCTATTTCTAATATATTTTAAAATATATTTTATAAAGAAGAAATAAGGAAAAAAATAAAAATAATTAAGGAAAATTTTTTTTTTTACATTTAATATATATTTTTATAAAATCATTAATTTTTTATTTTTTATTAAGATATTATTTATCAGTAAAATACTATTTTTAATAGAAAATACATTTTTTTAAAAAATTTTGAATTTACTTAAAATTTGAAAATCCTTTTCAAAAAAATTCTATATCATTTTAAAAAATAAAAAATTTATCTGTTTAAAAATTAAATAAAAAATTACATATCCTTTTAAAATGTTAAGTACAAAATTTTATATCATTTTAGAAAATAAATTTTTTTGAATAGATAATAATAAATTTATTAATATATTCAAAATATTTATTTTGAATATATTTTTATTAAAAATTTTATATTTATATAAAATAAAAATATTACTTTCGATAACTCAATTTCTTTCCCTTATCAGATCAGAGGCTATAAGCGTTGTTTTATTGTTTATTTTTTTAATTTTCTATAAATATAAAATTTTAATAAAAAATAGATTCAAAATAATTTGTTAATGGAAAAATTATTATGAACAAATTAATAAATTAATTTTTAAAATGATTTAAAAATTTGTACTTAATATTTAAAAGGACATAAAGTTCTTTATTTAATTTTTAAATTGATATAAAAATTTTTACCTAATTTTTTAAAATATATGGAATTTCTTTCAAAAAGATTTTAAAAATTTTAACTTAATTTTAATTTTTGAAAATTTATTTTTATTAAAATCAAAAAGTATTTAAGGAAAAAATATTTATAATAAAAATATAAAAATATTATTTTACACATAATATTTTATAAAATAGATTTGAAATATAAAAAAATTAAAATGATAGCAACTTTTATCCGTAAACTTTGATCTAAATTTTATTTTAATCTTTTTATCTGCTACATGAGATGTTAGCTTTATCATTTATGCGTCATTCACATAATGTTAACTGAAATTTATCATCAATTAAAACGGTTTCGTATTTGTAAGCATCAAAATAAGATAACTATGAACAATTAAAGATTCAATTAAAACATTTTAAATATTAAAAATTAAAATAAAATTTAACTTAAAATTTAAAGGCTACCGGTGCTATTTACCTTTTCAATTTCATATTTTTCTTGCTTTTCAATTATATATTCCTGCAACTCCATAAACGTTACGCTAAAACTCACTCATCTCCTTTTGCCAAAAAAAAAAAGACTAGACAAGAAAAACCAAACACAACAAAAACAAAACAACAATGGCAGCTGAAACAAGCTCTGCTACTTTATCTCCAATCAAAACAGTGGTTGTTTTGGTTCAAGAGAACCGTTCCTTTGACCACATGTTAGGCTGGTTCAAAACTCTAAACCCGGAAATCGACGGCGTTACAGGATCCGAATCCAACCCAATTTCCACCTCCGATCCCAACTCAACCCAAGTCAACTTCCAGGACAAAGCTGGCTATGTTGATCCTGACCCTGGCCACTCATTTCAGGCCATATATGAACAAGTATCAGGCAAAACATGGGATACCAACAATCCGGATCCGAACCCGGAGATAAAAATGAATGGTTTTGTACAAAACGCTGAACGAACAAAGCCAGGGTTGTCGGAGACTGTCATGAATGGGTTCAAACCGGAGGCAGTGCCGGTGTTTAAGGAGTTGGTGACAGAGTTCGCTGTGTGTGATCGTTGGTTCGCGTCGTTGCCGGCGTCGACGCAGCCTAACAGGCTTTATGTACACTCAGCAACGTCGCATGGGGCGATGAGCAACAACACACAGCAGCTCATTGAAGGGTTTCCTCAAAAAACTATATTTGAATCATTGGAAGAGAATGGATTTAGCTTTGGGATTTATTATCAATCTTTTCCATCTACGGCTTTTTACAGGTAATAATTCAACTTTAACATGTTCTTGAAATTTTAATTTGAAAATCTTAATTAAAAAAAATTAAATCAGTTTAATTTTTTTACAATTAAAAAAGTAAGAGGAGAAATGATTAAAGGTGAAAACGACATTGTGAAATAATACAAAAGTAGGCCACCAAAGTGGGACATTGAATGTTGAAATAATCGATGTGAATTATAATGTGTTGTTTTTTTCTTATAAATAAGGTTTTATTGGATTGGCTAGTTTTTTAATATTTAATTTTGAATTATGTATAAGAAAGCGTTAGATTCTTTAAATTATTGCTCTCTCTATCCTTAATCATAAGTTTCTCATTGGCTTTGCAGAATTAAAAAAAAAAAAAAGATTTTGATGTATTATAATATTAATTTTTGATTTCTTTTGTAAATTTGATGTGCTGTAATTTTTAATAAAAAAATAAAAATCATAAAAATTAATTTTAAAATATAAAATAAAAAATTTAAATGTTCAAATATATATAATTTTAAGACATCCACGATTTCATCATGTCCGGTACAGATGTTTGGCATTATTAAGAGTCTAGAATTAGATTTATTTCATTTTCTATATATTTCCCCACATATTATATATTTTTAAAAGTATTTTATTTATGTGGTTTATATTAATAGCCTTGCTTATGTACAGCTCATGCGACCATGAAATCTAAAAAAATATCTTCCTTCAAAATCATATATTGTGAAAATTAAATTAATAAATGTGGGACATAAACTAATGTCATCTTTCAATCCTGATTGATTCAATCCCACTGCAATATTCTAGTTGATACTCAAGATTAAGTGTTCTCGTAGCATGAATATTAAGCAAGTAGTCTAATTTTTAGAGAATTGTGTCTTTCACAAATATAGCTTACTTCAATATTCTTTGGTACAATAATTTTTCCTTATTAGTGGATCAATGATTTATTTTACAAGTTCATAAGAATTTTGATATAGAGGATCCATAATAATATGATAATTAAAGAGCATATTAACTTATATTACTATAAACCATGATATAGAATTAGAATTAACTCTAAAATTAAGACTAGGATAAAAGAGAATAGTTAACATAGAGAGAGCTTAAAAACTCATAATTTATATTCACAAAAAAAGTTTACAAGATTTGATTTGAGATCTGCCTTCCTTATGAATGAGTTACTATTTATATAGGTATGAAAAAGTAAAAGAATAAAATTAAACATGACTAAAGAGTCGATGACCAAGCTTTAAAATAAAACATATTTGAAAATGAACCAACAAACTAATTTTAATAAAGAAACTTTAATAAATATGAAGGAATCTTCTATATTAAAATAGCTTTAATAAAACTAACACAAAGTTGACATGGTTGAATTGATGTTGGTGTTTGATACTAGAGCTGATGTAATGGCTGATGTCATCCTCTGTTACTTGTCTTGAAAAACAAACAAACTTACACACTGAACAAAGTCACATATAATTATACGTATTTTGGATTGGAACAGAAAAAATTCTTATTCTAAAAAATTGTCTTGATAGATACTAATCAGCCTATTCAAACAATTCATCTTTAATTTCTTCTTTTGGATTTCTATCGTAAGGTTTCAACCATTGACCATGAATTTTATCTTCAAATATTTTTTTTATCTTTATGACATCTTCTGGATCTTACCAATAAGGATTTGTGTGATATTGCATTAATTTTACAAAATTTAAGAGATAGTCTAGGTGAAGCATTTGGAATCAATGGAGAAATAGGTATTGTGGATGTAAACTAATAGGTCTACATGGTCAGTATGGGTTTCAATGAGAACAAATTGAAACTTTTAGATGAGTCATTTTGCCGTGTCATTAAGAGTCTTCTTAGCAATCATCACTAGATGTCTGGGGGAGTATTTTTTACTGTGAACTTGGGAATGGAAGATAAATACTATGAGGATGGTGAGCGTTTCATCATAGCAATAATAGGAATAATCTTTAAAGTGTTTGAAGGTATGGATAACATATCTAGAAATACATTATCTTTTTTTTATATGCTTCATGGTGAATGAATACTTTGAAAACCATTAAGATAGCCTTAACAGTTGTACATTAGGCATCTATTTTTTCTTGAAATTCAGCATGTGATCAAAGGCTCACATGCCTAGTCCCACGTGAACATGATAACCTATGAGGTGAAATTCAAATTTTTGGATTTCATATTTCACTGCTAAAATTTCTTTAAAAATAGAATGATAGTAGATTTTGGATATTTGAAATTTCCACTTTTGTATCAGCATATTTGTTCAATTTAAAGATTTTTTTTCCATTAAAGAGAATATTTAAAGTTAGAATAAACTTTGAGTAGTTTTACTGACTGTGTCTATCTCTGAGACCTCTGAGAGGGCTTTTTTTTCCACATCTATCTTCCGTTATCAGAAGCTTTTGCAAAGATACAAAACAATTTCTTGTATTGCTCAACATCATATCAAGTGGACAATAATGCCTTTTGGCTTAAAAATAGCTCCGTCATTATTTCAAAAGGTGATGGCAAAAATTTTTACTCTAATTCTCGAGAATGCTCTCATATACATTGATGATATCCTCCTCTGTTCTCTAAATGTGACAACTTATGCATAGTTACTTGGCTATCAGCTTTTAATTGTATGTTGAATTTTAAAAAAAAGAAGATGCCCAATGCACAACTGTTGAGGTTATCTCAATGGTTTTTAAAGTATTCCTTCACCATGAAGTATATAAAAGAAAAGGATAATGTCCTCCTATATATGTTGTCTAGACCTTCAAACATTTTGAAGATAATTCCTATTATTGTTATGATAAATCTCTCACCATCCTATCTGTATTTATCTTTTATTCCAGAGTTTTCAATAAAAAATCTCTCCCCAAACATCCAGCAGATGACTATTAAAAAGACTCTTAATGACGAGGCAAAAGGACTCACTTACAAGTTTCAATCTATTTTTATTGAAACCCATGCTAAGCATGGACTCAAACCCATTGGTTTACATCTACAATACACATTTTTTCCATTTATTCTAAAAACCTCACCTAGACTGTTTCTACAAAAAAACTTTTATCCTTCTATGGTACCTTTGTGAAATCTACACTATTGCCATAGAATTCAATGTAGCAAACCTCTTCCGTGAACTTATTCACTTAATCAGAAAAACCATTTTTTTTGGTGAAATAGACCTTGCTAAATGGTTTAAGATTTTCCTTAAATGGTTCAAACTACTATAGTAATGGGTTGAACAAATCAAAGATATTTCCCATATTACTATCATATTCATGTTCCACAGACCCTATCAGGTAAACAATGCCGATATAGTTAATTTTCACTCATACTTAGCTATTTATGATTACAACCCATATCCCTTGCATAAATAATTGTACATATATCTTGCTAAGTACCAACTTTTTCTTCAAAAACTTTGCAAGATCAACAAAGATCACATTCCTTATATCCTTGAAAAATTACCACTTTTTCGAAAAGAGCCACAGTGGTGGTACCTTCTAGAATACATTAAAGAAAACATTATCACATTCATAGATGGATCCCAATACTCCTTTATGATAATTGGTTCAATGACCTATCATAAAGACTCTTTAATTTTGATCTCCTAAATTTTGCATAATTAATGCAACTTCCCACAAATCTTTATTGGCAAGATTTAGAAGATATCACAGAAATTAGAAAAATATTTAAAGAAAAGGTTTATGATATGGATGAAACCTTATAACAGAGATGTAAAAAAAAAATTGAAAATAACTGTTTAAATGGGTGATCAGTACCTATCAAGACAATTTTGTCAAAATTTTGGAAAATAAAAATCTTCATTGTTCTAATCCAAAATATGTATAATTATATATGACTTTGTCCAGTGTGTAAGTATGTTTGTTTGTTTCTCAAGACAAGTGACAAATGATGACATTAGTCATTACATTAGCTCTAGCATCAAATGCCAACATCACATCAAGCTTGTAAAATTTGGTGCTTGATACTGGAGCTGATATAGTGGCAATGTCATCCTTTATCACTTGTTTTGAGAAATAAACAAACTTACACACTGAAAAAAGTCAAAAATAATTATAAATATTTTAGATTGGAATAGGAAAGATTTTTATTCTCCAAAATTATCTTGATAAATACTGATCAACCTATTCAAACAATTCATCTTTAATTTCTTCTTTTGGATTTTTATCATAGGGTTTCAACCATTAATCATGAATCTTATCTTCAAATATTTTTTTGATCTTTATGACATCTTCTAGATTTTATCAATAAGGATTTATGTGAAATTGCATTAATTTTGCAAAATTTAAGAGATAATCTAGGTGAGGCATTTGGAATAAATAGAGAAATAGGTATTATGAATGTAAACTAATTGATTTGAGTACATGGTCAGCATAGGTTTCAATGAGAACAAATTGAAACTTGTAAATGAGTCATTTTGCCTTGTCATTAAGAGTCTTCTTAACAATCATCTACTAGATGTTTGGGGGAATTTTTTTACTAGGAACTCTGAAATGGAATATAAAGACTATGAGGCATCATAACATTAATAGGAATGATCTTTAAAGTGTTTGAAGGTATGGATAACATATCTGAGAAGATATTATTTTTTCTTTTATATGTTTCGTGGTGAAGGAATACTTTGAGACCCATTAAGATAGTGTTAACAATTGTGCATTGAGCATCGATTTTTTTTTTCTTGAAATTCAGCATGTGATCAAAGACTAACATGCTTAATCCCACAAGAAAATGATAACTTATGAAGTGAAATTCAAATTTTTGGATTCCATATTTCACTACTAAAATTTCTTTGAAAATAAAGTGATAGTAGATTTTTGAATCTTTGAATTTTTCACTTTTGTATCAGTATATTTGTTCAATTTGTAAGATCATTTTTCCATTAAAAAGAATTTTTAAAGTTATAATAGACTTTGAGCAGTTTTACTGACTATGTCTATCTTTGAGACCATTGAAGGGACTTTTTTTTAACATTTATCTCCAGTTATCAGAAGCTTTTTGCAAAGATACAAAATAGCTTTTTCGCATCGCTTAACATCATATCAAGTGGACAATAATGCCTTTTGGCTTAAAAGTAGCATTGCCATTATTTCAAAAGGTGATGACAAAAATCTTTACTATAATTTTTAAGAGTGTTCTCATATACATTGATGATATCCTCCTCTTTTCTCTAAATATGACAACTTATGCACAGTTACTTGATAAGTTTCAATTAATTCTACAATGAGATCTAGAAGGAATTACTCTTGTAGTTCACTATTTCAAGGAACTATTAGACTTGTCTTTTTGAAAAATTATCGTTAAGAAAATTTCAAGTACTTGTGTAATGTGGGGCTATGCAATGTACTGTTCATCTTTCAAATGCATTCTAAAGAAATCAATATCTGTGATACCATTTATCATATTTTTTCTAACAAAATCATTTTCAGTGAACAATAATTCCCTTTAGCTTGCAAGTAGCTCCGTCATTGTTTCAGAAGGCGATAAGAAAATATTTACTCCAATTCTTGAAAATGCTCTTATATACATTAATAATATTTTTTTATTTTTTTCAGATGTACAACTCATGCACAATTACTTGATAAGTTCCAATTAATTATGCAGCAATATAGAATAATTCTGTTAAAATAAAAAAAAAAGATAATTTGTGCCATAAAGATTGATTTCCTTAAAATGCATTTGAAAGATGGACAGTATATTGCGCAATCTCATATTGCACAAGAACTTGAAGATTTTTTTGATGATAATCTTTCGAAAAGACAAATTCAATAGTTCTTTGGAATAATGACTACATGAGTGAATTCCTTTCAAATCTTGTTCAAATAACTTATTCTCTCAAACAAATATTAAAAAAAAAGCCCCATAATGGTCTTAGAGATAGATATAGTTAGTAAAGCTACTCAAAATCAAATCAAAATCTATTCTAGCTTTAGAGATTTCTTCTGATGGAAAAAAAAAAAAAACTTATAAACTGATGTAAGTGATAAGTTTTGGATTACAATTCTCCTTAAAGGAAAAAATGAAAAAAGACAAATATTCAGATACAAAAGTAAAAAATTTAAAGATCTAGAAATTCACTATCACTCTATTCTCAAAATAATTTTAGCAGTGAAATATGAAATTCAAATATTTGAATTTCACCTTATAGGTTATCACTTTTTCGTGCAAATAGGCATATCAGCTTTTGATTACATGCTGAATTTTAGAAAAAAGTATATGCCTAATGCGCAACTGTTAAGGTGATCTCACTGATTTTCAAAGCATTTCTTCATCACGAAGCATATAAAAAGAAAAGATAATGTCCTCTTAGATATGTTATCTAGACCTTTAAATACTTTAAAGATCATTCATGTTATTGCTATGATGAATCTCTCACCATCCAGTTTTTATCTTCCATCCCAGAGTTTCCAATAAAAAATCTCCCCCAAACATCTAGCAGATGATTACTAAGAAAACTCTTAATGACAAGGCAAAAGGACTCATCTACAAGTTTCAATCAATTTTCATTGAAATTGGTGCTAACCATGGACTCAGACCTATTGGTTTACATCCACAATACCCATTTCTCCATTTATTCCAAATACCTTACTCAGACTATTTCTACAAAAAAGCTTTTATCCTTCTATGGTACTTTTACGAAATCTACACTATTGCCATAGAATTCAATATAGCAAACCTCTTTCATGAACTCATTCACTTAATCAGAAGAACCACTTTTCTTAGTGAAACAAACCTTGCTAAATGGTTTAAAATTTTCCTTGAATGGTTCAAACCACTATAGTAATGGGTTGAACAAATCAAAGATATTCCCTATATTATTGTATCATTTTCATGTTCCACAGACCCTATTAGGTAAACAATGCTGGTATAGTTAATTTTCACTCATACTCAGTCATTTATCATTGCAACCCATATCCATTGCATAAAGAATTGTACATATATTTTGTTGAGTACCAACTTTTTCTCTAAAAACTTTGCAAAATCAACAAGGATCACATTCCTTAGATCTTAAAGAATTATCACTTTTCCAAAAGGAACCATAATGGTTGTACCCTCTAGAATACATTAAAGAAAACATTATCATATTAGCAAATGGATCCCAATATTCCTTTAGGATAATTAGTTCAATGACCTATCATAAAGACTCATTAATTTTGATCTCCTAAATTTTGCACAATTAATGCAACTTCTCACAAATCCTTATTAGTAAGATCTAGAAGATATCACAGAGATAAGAAAAATATTTAAAAACAAGATTTATGATTAAAGGTTGAAACCTTACGATGGAGATGCAAAAGAAGAAATTGAAGATAACTATTTGAATGGGTCAATTAGTACCTATCAAGACAATTTCCTAAACAATTTGGAAGATAAGAATCTTCCTTGTTCCAATCCAAAATATGTATAATTATATGTGACTTGTTCCAGTGTGTAAGTATGTTTGTTTTTTTCATGAAACAAGTGACAAATGATAACATTAGTCCTTATATCAGCTCCAGCATCAAACACCAACATCACATCAAACTTGTCAACTTTATTAAAACTATTTTGATAAAAAATGATTCTCTCCTTTTTATTAAAGTTACTTTATTAAAGTTAGTTTGTTTATTCATTTTCAAAGTGCTTTACTTTAAGTCTTTATTATGGACCTCTTAGTCATATTTGGTTTTATTCCTTTAATTTTCCATGCCTATATAAGTCGTAATTGCTTCATAAGAAAGTCAAATCTTAGATTAGATCTTGTAAACTTTGTGAAATATAAATTATGAGTTTCTAAACTCTCTCTCTCTTGGTTATTTTCTTCTATCCCAATCTTCATTTTAGAGCTAGTTCTTAGTTCTATATCATGTTTTGCAATAATATAAGATAGTATGCTTTATAGTTGTCATAGCACTATGGATCCTCTGCATCATAATTCTTATGAAATTGTAAAACAAATCATTGTTCCATTGATAAGAGAAAATTAAGTTATTGTATCAAAGAATACTAAAGTAATAAGCTATTGTAATAAAAGGCACAATTTCATAAAAATCATACTACTTACTTGATGTTAAATACTAAAAGGGTGCTTAGTCTTGAGCACCAACTAAAATACCTTAATCTTATGCCTGATCTATAAATCGCTCATGAAGATGAGAACATTTATTTCTCCTTTTTTTTTTTTTTTCTTTGAGATGATAGAATTTTTAAACATGTTCATTTTCTTTATCATAAAAATTGAGTACACAAGAAACAATATATAGCTCAAGAAAAGCACCCGACAGGAAATCTCGTAGTTTGAAGCTAACCCAATTAAAATCATTCGCACAACGTAGCATTGGTCTTTATCTGGTGGGACACCCTCCCCTATCTAATTAAAAGACCTTTGAACAAATTGACAATAAAAAAATTATATGTTTGGTTCAAGGAGATTAATAATGTAACATACTTAAATTTAATATTAATTTAATTATTTGTTTAGTCTTTTTTTACAATGATTTGTTTTCTTGGGTGCAATTTGACTGTGATTTCGTTAGTTGAAGGCATATTTTCTTTTGTCTTGACTCATAAGATTCGTTGGCTTATGGGTGCCGATTTCTTTTAGATGACTTATGTTCCCATTGGAATTCCTTGTATTTTATAAAAATTAATTAATTAATTAAACTATGTAAAAATTATATATGTCATGTAATTAAAATTTATATTATACCAATGCAAATGGATATTCCTTGTGCATAAGAAAGAATTTAATTATGAATAGATTTAGGCGATATTTAGTTCGTTTGGATGCATGGTTGGAGTGATTTCCGTTATGTCGTCTGTGTCGTTTTATGACCGTAAATAAAACGGCACTCAAAGGTGCAGTGAGAGTCCCTCTCACCACGGATTCCAAAGGAACCTCATAGAAATGAGAATAACAAAGAAAAAAACCAAAATCCAAAAGAAAGGAAAAAAAAGTAAATCAATCTCATTATTATTCTAATTACTATTAGTCTAGAAGGTATTGATTGATCTGAAATAACTTGTATTGATAAAATGATTTCCTTGTATTGACAATGCCAGGAACCTTAGGCAATTGAAATATGTGGACAATTTCCATCAATATGATCTAAGCTTCAAGCGCCACTGTGAGAAAGGGAAGTTACCAAATTATGTGGTGATTGAGCCTAGATATTTTGACATTTTAACAGCTGCTGCAAATGATGACCACCCTTCTCATGATGTATCAGAGGGCCAGAAGCTAGTGAAGGAAATCTATGAGGCACTTAGATCAAGTCCACAGTGGAATGAAATCTTGTTGCTGGTTATATATGATGAACATGGTGGTTTTTATGACCATGTGCCAACGCCTACTGGGGTCCCTAGTCCGGATGATCTTGTTGGTCCTGAGCCTTATTACTTCAAGTTTGATCGCCTTGGTTGCAGGGTTCCTGCCATTATGGTTTCTCCCTGGATTGAGCGTGGAACAGGTAAGTTCAACTTTCCTGCACCATTTTACTCGATCTGCACTAATGCCATGTTATATGTAATTTGCTTGTGCAAAAATGATCAAACTCTGAATCAATAGATCAAAAGACTCCATCACCATTCTGTAATCCTTAAATCTGAAGTAAATGGTCCAATTAAAGCTATTGTTCATCAATATTCAGTGTTGCATAGGCCATCCGGGCCAGATCCTACATCAGAGTTCGAGCATTCCTCAATTGCAGCAACACTTAAAAAGATTTTCAATCTGAAAGAATTTCTAACAAAGCGTGATGCCTGGGCTGGTTCCTTTGATATTGTTGTGAATAGAAGTAGCCCAAGAACAGATTGTCCAGGTACTTTAAGCAACCAAAACCTTTTATCTCTTATTCATACAACCAAAATCCTACAGTTTTTTCTCCCAATAAAATAATTGAATGTATATTATTACATACAAATGTAGAAAAATTGCCTGAGCCTGTGAAAATGAGAGACACTGATGCAAAAGAAACCGCGAAACTAAGTGATTTTCAGGAAGAATTAGTACAAGCAGCAGCAGTATTGAAGGGAGATCACTTGAAAGACATTTATCCATTCAAACTGGTTGAGAACATGACAGTCTCAGCTGGTCTCAAGTATGTTGAAGATGCCTTCAAGAAATTCTATGATGATGGCAAGAAAGCAAAGGAAATCAATGGAGCTGAGGATTCTGTTCCAGCTGATGCACCTACTAGGACAACAACCAAAACTTTCATGCAGAAGGTTTTCTCTTGTTTGATCTGTGATCACTGATCAAACAACAAAACAAGATCATCTCAATCTGCCAAGTTTTCATCAACCATTTTCTAGAGTGTTGTGCATCTTAATTTTGTGTTGCAATGCTGCAATTTGAAGTACTTTGGAAGGGTTTAACAAGTTTGTGGGAACCAGAAAAAGCCAGGCTCCATTTGCATTTTGTGGAAGGATTTTTTTTTTCTTTTTTATCACCATTTTTGCTATACTTTCTTCTCCTTCAACCAAACTTTTTGGTACATTAGATTTTCACATTTATGTATCTTCTTTTGGCCAATCACTTTCTGTATTAGAGCATACATATGTGAAAAGCCTTTAGACCTATAATTAATTTTTGTAGAAATATTTTTCTAAAATTTGTTACAATTTACAAAGGGCAATATCATAATTTATGTTTTCAATTTCTAATATTAAAATCTTCAATATTTATCAATGATAATTAACAACAAATCTCAAAAATGAAAAAAAAAAAATGTTTTGATTTTGAAAAGGTAAAATCCATCTAATTCGTAACTCAATTATCATAACAACGAAGATGACATAACATCAAAGAAGAGTTATGATTCTTTATATTCTTCACACTATTAAGATAATTTATTAATTTACATTACAATTTATCTTTTATCACATCTAACAAGTTTCAATTTTAAATCTTTAAAATTTGTAATCTTTTTTTTTTCCATCTTTGTCCAAATTATAATTCTCAATCTATTTTTTTTATAGGGAGTGAACAATTTGATAATCCGATTCGTTTAATCCTCAAATTAATTAGTGTTTATCACAAGCTTAAGAAAAATTTTAATTTTGCCCCGCCGAAATCGATTTAGTGTCTCACTTTAAATTTGAGTATTGTTCATATTATGTTACAAGAAAACATTTTAAGAATGTTTTACCTTCAAATAAAAATTTATCTTTTGGTAATAAAAAATTTAATTGGTGAGATTGCTTTTTAACCCAACTAATAAGCTTTATTGAAATCAAAACCAATAAGTGGATTTTTTTTATTAAAATCTAATTGTTTTATAAAAATATATAGGAGAGTTTCCTATACGTTAATCTAGTTATGATCAATATGAATGTAAGGCTTCCTTCTCAATTTTGCCTTATTCTTCCTTTGCGCTTGACCGTAAAGTTACTCTCTCTCTCTCTCTCTCTTACATTTTCTTTTAGTGTTTGGTTAATTATAATTTGTTTTTTTATCAATTTTAATTTTTATATAATTATTTGTAAATTTGATAATTTTTATATTTATGTCGATATTTATTTCATGTCAAATCGTACATAAAGCACAAAAATTATTGTAACATGATTTAGAAGGACACATCAAATATAAAATATATTTTTTTTATTTTTATTAAATTTATATAAATTTTTATCAAAATTTTAAACTATATCTTTTTTATATTTCTTCAAATAATATTACTCTATCGTGTTAAAAGTTATCCGCTATAACTGTTTGATTGTTTTGTGGGCCTTCAAATCTAATTCCCCACTCTTGATTTGTTTGTTTTGCAGTTTTTTTTTTTTTTTTTCTACTAAGCTTATTGCCCTCTCACACAGCCAAAAAGGTCTGGCAAAGCGGATGGCCCCCTAACTCTATCGAAAACAAACTACTCCGCTTTCGACGTTTTTTTCTTCCTCTTTGTTTTCATCTTTCCACCCTGATGGGATCCCCAGACCCAGACTTCCCCATTCTTCAGCTTTAACCTCCAACATAGAAAAAAGATCAGAAAAAAAAAGGACAAAACCAGAAACAATAATTTCATCCACCTGTAGTATCATCTGTACAATACTCAATGCAAGAAAGAAGACAAGGAGATGACAGAATCTACATTGTCACAACCGTTTTCTTTGCATGCATTGTCGCAGGTGGCGTATTCTTAGGTCTTTACATATTCCTGCCTGAGGCAGAATCTGCTCTCTGGTATCCAGTTGCAGGGATCATTCTTGTAGGCATTCCCTGGATCTTTTGGATTGGTATTTACCTCTACAGGTGTTGTGTACATGGTTGTTGTCAAAGCAATGGAGGAAATGTTAACAGGGTCCAAAGCAGCTTAACGAAGACACAATCCTATGCTTCCACAGGACCTGTAGCCAGATCAATGCATTCATCGGAAAATGATAATTCACCATTGAGATCGCCTAATGGTGATCATCGTCATGTTCATTTTGGAGAGGTTGTTGTGCTCGGAACTAGAAAGTATAATCAGAATGACGATGGTGGTGAAAGTCAGCATGAAGATGCAAAGGGGTATCCTGAAACAGAACATGAAGGTAACGAGAATTCTCATGACAGCATTGCATCTGATAAAGATGCATCTAGGAAAGGCGAGGCACCACTAATCGTGTCAGCTTCAACCTGAGGTTCTTTCTTTTTTTTTTCTGATGTCCATATATTCATAACCTTAGGGATACATTGAGACCTCTAATTCATCATATTCTTCCATTTTGCCTTACCGATGTGGAGAGGCGGTATCAACTGTCATAGAGAAATGACCTTAGATGTTTGAGGGAGAGGGCTCTTATGGACTACTTAATGGAAGATTATATGACCATGCATAATGGAAAGATGATATTAGGGCTGGGACTTTTAACAGAAAGTTTGATAAAAATGGCTTTTCGCAAGATGTCAGGATGTGAAACCATGGGAATCAAAATTTTGAAAGATTGAGAGATTTGTTATGCAAAAACAATTTTCATTTATCATGATTATTTTGCTCAATGCCGTGGATGCTATAGATATCAAATTTTAATGAAATAGTTCTTCAATTCTGGTTGGCATAACATATTATTTTATCCATATAGATGTGCTCTGAAGATAAAAAATTATCTTAATTCACCGGTTGAACTTGTTCTTTGGCTTCATTATTCTGTGCTTTTTTTCAGAAAACCTTTTGTAATTCCTAGTTTTAATAGAGCAAAGAAAGTTGCCTTTATCAACTTTGACAGGTATACTAGGAAAAAAATGTCATTTCTGAAGTAGTTTAGGCCTTATTTAATAGTTGTCATTTCTGGACTCGGAGATTATTTAATAGTTGTCAGACTACTACCTAGGAGCTGAAGTCGTATGCCCAATTTACGTCAAGGCCTCCAGTTGAAGGAACTGAAAATAAATCTGAAATGAAGTTATATGCCCAATTTTGGATGCACCTTCTTTTTCTTGACCGGCAAATGAAAGTCATCCATGGTACTCGTGCACCCTAACTTCCTCTTCATTTCTGTCCACATGCTCACCTTACCCTTTTTTACTCTTTGCCTGCTGCACCCACTTGAGATTTCTTTCTTCATGAGATAGCAGTCCTTCTCTAGCTCCTTCACCTTGATGCTCATTTTTTCCATTTCCATCCTTACTTCATCCTCCTCCTCCTCCTCCTCCTCCTCCTCTTCTTTTCCCAATTTGTCGTCATAACCACGCACCTCCTTTGTCAATGTTTCTCGCAGCTGCAACTGTGCCATAAAGAGTACTTGCACTACTACTCTTACTGGCAATCTTTCATTTTTGGCAGCATGTTCACAAGCTTCAGGAGACATTTTTCGAAAATCCAACACCCTACAAACCTGTTCTTTCTCCTTTTCTGTCAGGTAAGCTGCTTGTCCAAGTATTTGTTAATAGCCCGGTATATTCCATCAGAGTTTCTGTGTGTTCCTAATGCTGCTGCCATGGACATCTCTGCTAGTGAAATGAAAGTGTCTATCACTAAATCCTTATCACATGCAATTTCTGACAAGAATTCTTCCATGAGTTCTGCCACAGTGATTAATCCAGAAGCATCAGAGCTATTGTAATTACCATAGAAAGTTTTCAAAATCCTCCTTATACACTCAATATCATATTGCACTTCCTTGGCATAGCCTTTGGAAGGGATTAATAGGTCCTTTACTTTTGCCTGGTCCAGTTGCTTTCCAATCCTAATCTCAAAACCATTCTTACAAGCAGAGCTAGCTTCCAAGTCGATTGCACAGCGGAGCATTTCAAACAAAAATGCGCAAGGAAGGAGTTCTCTTCCATGAGGCAAAAGTCTCTCTAACTTTTCAATTAAATTTCTTTGAGATTTCCTCTTGTAAATTGACATAGTCTCCCCTTCGATGTTACGGGAAAAGATCCACTTCTTTGCATATTGATAAATAGATGCAGAAATGTACTCCGGTGGAATTTCATGCTGATTCATTGCGTGAATGATAGGCTCATATAGCTGGAGTGGCAATGTTGTCAAATCCTCTTGCCAGTCAAGAGGAAAGAGCCTTCTCCTTGCATTAGGCCTATAATAAATATCATCACCTTCAGTATCACCAGAGTTTGTTGAAATCATTATGGGATCCCCAAGAATTCGAGGATTGTCCGACGCCTTTGCAATCATAGACTGTATGCAGGCATCAAAAAGACCGACCTGCATTGTTTGTTGAAGCAATTTTTCGGAAACACGGAAAGCCTTGATAATTTCATTCCAACTAGGGAGGACTCTTTGTTCCAAGAAGGTAACAGCTTTGCTTAATAGATTGTCACTGCTGTGATTTTCATCCATCCCTAAGTAGAAAGACAGGCAAATGAGTGGTACAATGTTTTCAGTGGACATCTGTACTGAATATCCACGGCAGAATCTTGCAACAAGTTCAAAAGTCTCCGCATCAGCCGGAATGTCCCGGAGTAAGTAAGAGATATCTTCATTAGAATTCTCTTTAAGTAGGGCAGCAACTTTAGCTGATTTAGAGGCCAGAAGTTCCTAGATGGTAATGAACAGATACATATAAATTCAAATTATATTGTTGGTGGATAAAGGGCAAGAAACAGAAAAAACTGCAATAATAATGGAGAAATTATGAATGAAATGAAGGTTGTTTGGAACATTTCTCACTTTGTCCAGGGTTAAAGGCATACTTCCTACATGAACATCCATTTCTGTAGCAGATGTAGACTTAGACATCCTGGAATTAAAAAAAAAAAAAAGAGTTGTAAGGAGGCAACCAGAATTCAGAAAACAACTCAAAGATTCAAGACAGAAGAGAGATTGAATGCCTCCATGATGTATCTGTGCATCGGATTTTAGTCAAAATCACAGTAAAACTTTATAGAGTCAGGTTGGTTAATCATTTTGATCATGTTAGGCCAATTCAAAATATTATTAATAGCAACAGCAACTATACATTCACCTGTTTTAGAGATAGCAATAACTAAACATGCAAAATCTTTCCCCAGTAAAGATTCTTAAACAGATTGTTTGATGGGGGAAGTTCATCTGATTCTGAACAAAAAATATGTCCATACAGGTATAGAAAGAAGCAAAATTTTCTGATTCTATATGAAAGACAGTCATATGAAAACAGAAAATAGCCATGGCTATGGAAAATCTAGCATTCAAAATCACATTTTGCTCGATCAATTTACAATCATTTAATGCATTGATGATTGATTACCCCATGATTTTTTGAGAGAGTATAATTGCTCACATGGTTACAAACACAAATAAGTCTTACCTTGAAGAAGATAGTGAGAGAGTAAGAAAGGAGGAAAAGCATTCAGTTCATTGCTAAATTCATTTGTTGGGAGGACTTGATAAAGTAAAACAACATTCCCATCCTCTACTGTAAGGCTGCGATCTTTTTTGTAAAAAATAAAAAGAAGTTGAAAAAAAAAAAACAGATAGCTCCTAATTTTGTGGGGGGTTCTGTTATTTAAAAATTTTCAAAACAGATTCTGCTAAGAGAAACGTCAAGCTAGCAAGCAACCTCTCATTTTCTTGCCTTTTTTTCTTTTCTCTATCAACAAAAAAAAAAAAAAAGGCAGATAGTTCCTATTTAGAATTTTAGATATTCAACTTTGAACGATGGGAGCATTAATTTTCGTTTTTGGCTTCATCAAATGGAGTATTAATTATGTTATACATCATGCCGCCATGGTTTGAAAAGAATAAAGAAGCAAGAAATTAGAAAAAGGAAATAATTGCCTTTATTTTATTTTTATAATTTTATTATGGTTTTTAAGTAATAAGAGTTGGTGTCAAGACAGTACAAATAATGATATAGCAATTTCCCAACACCACAACGAGACATTACCAATGAGTGGTTAGTTCAAAGGCATTGAAATCAGTTCCAAATTAAAGATTTCAAATTCAAATTTCAATTGTAATTTAAAAGATTAAAAAAAAACCATCAGCACTCTGAAATCATGGTCATTCTAAAGGAATTTTTGAGCCTTCAAAGGAGAATATGCGAACTGCATTCTTGTAACTTATATGTGCGAGCTCTTCTTTGCTCATTTCCAGTAAAGATGCAACATAAATGAGTACCTGGAAACCAAGTGATTGAACAAGTTAATCCACTGGATATACCAAATCACAGATAATATATGAAGGTTTCGAGTACATTTCTAAAATCATTTGCATATATACGCAGCATATACTTACGAAAATGACAGTATTGATTGGGGAATTAACCAATATCAACCATATATATATAGGAAGATGTAAAGTAAAAGAAGACGTACACTATGAACATTTGCTGGCTGATTCAGTGTAGCATTTCCAGGAACGAAAAAAATAGGGTTTTTAGGTAGCGCATCAGGTGAATCTGTTTCCAATAAAATCCTATCCAAAGGTACCTGACAGTTCCAGAGTTTTAGAAGTAATTAAGATTACAAAATTATTTCATCCACAATCAATTAAGTTTTAAATTTCATAAACAGAGTTTGATAAAGATTTACAGAATATACGTTAATATTTTATTTCGATTATGAAGTTAAAAAATTCTACTGATAATATGTCAAAAACGATTACAAAAATTACCGCCTTGACAATTTTTTTGGCCTCGTCTTCTTCCAATGGCATCAAATGTCCAGAGAATGAGAAGTAAGAACCAAGCTTTGTAAGTTCAGGAACTACCTCTGGAGAACCTTGAAAAGAATGGAGTATGACACCTGATGGAAAAGGTCCTATATCCCTATCAAGACAAAACAACATGAATTAATTAGCAAGAAAAAATGCAAGGAAAAGGAAAAACCTTTAAAAAAAAAAAAAAAACTTGTTTTAAAGAAAATAAAAGCATGACTGAAATTGCATTAACGTGATCTATGTCTGTCTAAAAAATTTAAATATGTAATCATACTTCATTATCCGAAGAAGCTCAGGAAAAGCATCAAGACAATGCACACTGGCCGGTCTTTTTATCTCTTTGGCTAGTTGAAGCTGTTTCTTGAACACTTCAACCTGGAAGAAAATTAAGAAATAAACATGAAATTGTCATAACAAGGAGGTTCCAAAATGAATATTTATAGGAAACTTATATATAAAACAAAATAGTTCCCAATCTTTAATTATTTTTTTTCCTAATGATCTTACTTTTATCTTTTATTGTGAATTACTTACGATGTACATTGTCAAAGTTGAATACATTACCAAATCAATAATTATCTAACAACAAACAATTAATTAAATTAATATTGAAAGTTTAATTTAATTGATTCATGTAATTATCTTTAAAGATAATATTTAATTATATACGTTTTAAAACTCAGTATCTTAATCTCTTATCAACCTTTTTTTAAAAAAAATAAACTGAATATATTGTCAAATTAATAATTGAGTTTTTTTTTTCTTTGACAAAGCCAATTGCTTTATTTACCATTTTTCTACTTCTTAAGATTTTCCTTAAAAGTATGAAATAAATAGAAATATGAAACGAACTAATCTTAAATTAAGGCACAAACATGATTAAATATATGAAAAAAAGGGTTTTTTATTAAAAAAAAAATTCATTTGATATTAATATATATAAATAAATTCAAAAAAAAAAAAAAAAAAAAGCAAGCAAGTTGAAGAGGATCATAAATTCAAGACCTGGTCCGAGAAATCAACCCCCTTTGCTAGTGGGCTTTTGTCCAAACCAATCTGAAAAATGTCATATATAAAATATTATTGTTAACAACATATATAATATATGTCCTCTACTAATAATTGGTGTGAATAGATAGTATATTTGTATCATGTAAAATATTAAAATTTATTTATTTATATCGTATTTTATATAAAAATTATATGTTATAAGTTATGTTAATATAAAAATATAAATTTTTTAATTATTAAATTTATATATAATTATTATCAAATTTTCAAATCATATCATTTTTATATTTTTTATTTATATTATGTTTTTATTATATATTTTATATTGCAAATATAAATATGTAGTACTTTCAAGCATATGACCCACATTGACGATTTTTTTGTCCTTCAAAACCCAAGTTTCAATGTTTACACCCCACAAACTTGTTAATGGGCCCTTAACTTTGATAGAAAACCCATATTAGTTATATGTTTTTTACAAGTTAAGGGCCCATTAAAGTAACTCAGATGCTTAGGCGTGCCCAAAAAGAGTAAAAGCTTTTCTGTGATGTTCAAGGTTTTATGGCATCCAGCAGTCAGAAAACATAGTAATCAACGCTTTTATAATCTTGATCTCTTCAAGATCTTTTTTCAAATTGTGTATTAAAATAGGAGAAAAAAAAACCTCAAGTTCAATTTGGTTTTTTTTTTTTTAAAGAAAACAAAAGATAAATTCTTCAAAGATTAAACTAGTAAAAAAAAAGGGGGGGGGTGGTAAACATACTTTATGCTCATAAAGTGATTCAGCAAATTTTTATTTTGATTGTGGATTGAATCCTAGCTTGTGAAAAAAAAGGAGGAAAAACCATGAAAAAGGGCAGAGTATGAAAAAATGAATTATTATATATAATATATATATATATGAGTATCAGATTCATCAAAACCTCCCCAACAGCAGCTGAAGGATTAGCTTCAAACAGCTCCTTGAGAGTGCTGAACCAAGAGGGACTCTTTCCTTCAACAAACCTGTAAAATTTTCAAGGATCCCAACAAACAGAAATAAACTCAACCTTCGAGAGAAAGAAAAAGGAAAACCCAAAGAGCAACTACGTATACCGTGCAAGTTTATTCACTTAAACATACCAAGGATGTAGCCCAAAGTTTGGAATCACAGAGCAATATTCATCACTCATTTCTTTCACCAAATGCCAATCTTTCTGCCAAAAACAATCCCATCAAAACTCGAAATTTTCAAGTTTGAACTCATCAAGGAACTTTGATTTTTTTAGGAGAAGCCAAAGTGAACCAAAGAGAAAAATGTTGTGGCTACAAGCAACTAGCCCTACATACCTCTGTTATTCCATTCACAGCAATGTAAACAACCCCTGCCCCGTTGGCTGTAGCAATGAGTTGGGGAGCCTTATCTACAATTCTTTGATCTTGAAGGTGACAATGTGCATCAAACAATTTCATTGCCATGGATTTCATATAATTTGTTTCACTTGAAATAATTGAGAAAACAGCAAGAGATATACAGAAAGTTTTGATGTCGAGTTCCTTCATCTTGGACATGTTACAAAGTCAACGGATTGAGGAACCAATGAAAAAAGAGCCTGAGAACAAAAGTGATGTCCAGGTTGTCTTGATAGATGGGTTTATATAAAGGGTTAAATATAAAACTGGCCATGCGGTAATTATTTTATAAGTTTGATAATTAAAGAAATAAAATTTTTAATGTGATATTTTAATTTATATTTCATCATTTATTTTAATATTTAAAATTAATACAATTAGTTGACTTATAGACTTGATATAAAAATTTAATAAAATATTGATATATATCAAAAATTAAATTAATGTCACATCATTAATTATCATATCAGTATTAAAAAAATTACAAATTTTCCAAAAAAATCTAAAAATATCATAAAGAATCTAAAATATTTTTTAAAATTACAAAATCTTAAAAAATAAATAAAATATTTAAAAATTTATGAAAACTTAAAAAAATCCAAAAATTTTAATAAAAAATCCAAAAATTTTCTGAAAAATTCATAAAAATGAAAATTTTAATAAAAATAAAATTCAAAAATTTCATTAAAACATAAAAAGTTGAATATAAAATACAAAATATTTTGACAAAAGCTAAAAATTTTTAAAATTTTTGTAATTATTTTAAAATTATGCAAAATTTTCTTTTTTTTTTTAATTTTATAATTCTTATTTTTTATTAAAAATTTTTAAAAACATTTTTCGAATTTTTTGAATTTTTGTAATGCTAATGTGGCAATATGATGTGACGTTAATTAAAGTTTTTGATACTGTCAATATTTTTTTTAGATATTCATATCACGTCAATAAATTAATTAATATTATTAGTTTGAGACATTAAAGTAAATGACAAAATAAAAGTTTAAGCACTAAATTGATAATTTTATTTCTTTAATTACTAAACCAACAAAAAATATATAATACAAGAATTATTTTTATATTTAACCTTTATATAAGCAAATTAATCATATATTTATAAGCTCGCTTTTATTTCATATGTTACCTTTAGAAATATAAGTTTATACTAAAAAAATTAATATGTTTAAATTTAAAATTTAATTAAATTAATTCATATAATTACTGTTAAAAATGATATATAATAAATCCAAATTTTAAAATCCACCGCCACAATCATTTTTCCTATCCAAGCTTCTTTGAAAACAATAATATAAGTTTAAAGATAATATATCCAAATGCAAGAGGTCAGAAGAAGTGAGTGATTCATTAATGTCCAACTTGTCTATATGAGTTTTTATAAATAAACAAATTAATCATATATATATATTTTTTATACTTTTATTTTATGAAGTTTAGTTTTTAAATAAAGAGTCATACCCTATCAATTTTATTCTAATAGCATATAATTATTATCTAAAAATTGAAATTTATATATTCATAATTAATTAAAATGATGTATTTTTAATAAATTTAAAAAATATAATAGAATTCCTACTTATTAATTAGTTCATAAAATGATATATTACAATCCAATAATTAAAGACAAATACAAAAATTTAAGAAAAAAATGATGAAATTAATTTTTTTTTCTAATTGAAAATGAAACTAGTATTTTTTAATATAATATATAATTTAAAGATTGATTATCCAAATGCAAGGAGTCAAAAGAAATGATTTGGTGTGTCTTTTTATTTATTATTTTATTTTTTTTCTTTATTGAAAGATTTTAAAATATTAATTTTTGTCCCCAATAATTAAATGAAAGATATACTGATTACTAGGTATAACCATATGCATTATTCAATTACAAAACTTCAAATGCTCTTTGGATCTCAAGATCAACAAACTTGTATTCTCTCATTTACAATTGATTAGTGTTCATGCCCATATTTACTTCAGACTAGTTTTTCAAGTTTTTTTTTTTTTTTTCTTACATTTTAAAGTTATCTAAAAAAATTGATTAAAATATAAAGTAAGTCATTGTGCTTTATTAAATAGATTATATGAGCCTCTATCTTTTTATTGTAATAAAAATCTGTATTAAGGAAAAAAACAAACTTAATTAAAACAATCACAAATCACAACCCATAATTCAGTTTTTTTGGCATTAACCCATAATTCACAAATCTGTATTAAAGGAAATTATCATCATGGGGTAACTTTTGAATCTTTATAAGAAAACAATTGTACTGCATTTCTGTAGCTTAATTCTGCAAGTTCCTCTTTACTAATTTCCAGCAAAGTTGCAACATAATCAAGCACCTGAAGCAATAAAAATTTTCCGAATGTTACAAACAGTGTGACATGATGCTCTCAACTGCACATCTGAACATATTGGCTATAAAATACAGATAATGCGATAGGGATAAAAGCATATACCATATCAATCATCATGTGATCAAAACTAAATGATGCTTAAGCGAATTGAACCTCTGATGCAATAACGAAATTGTTCCACGAGTTCCTCAACTCACTGAAGTTCCATTTTCAAACTAACCGAGTCACGACACATTATTGTTGCTGGTAATTAGACTTCGATCAAAATAAGATCGATATAACCCTGTTTGGGGCCATATTTAGCCTCTTTGTCTATTTAGTGCTCTTATGTGTTCATATTAATTTTGTTTTAAGTTCTTTCCTATACAAGTTAATTTCTTTTGTTTCTGCTAGAAAATGTGCTGAAAATAAGAGATTGGGAAAAAAGATGTAATCAGAGTGCAAGTACGTGAAAAAGATAAGCTTAAGTTGAAGTAGAAAACATACATGATGAATGTTTGCTGGATGATTAAGCATATCTCTTGGCAATGTTGAAGCATCTCTTCAAGCAAGTGACTGATTCTGAGAAGGAATGCTAACATTTGAAGCAGAAGTTCTCCCTTGAGCAAAAAATTATTGTGGGAGGGAAGGATCTTCATCAACCAAAAATAGAGAGCTGAACTCTGAATGAGGCAGTGCATCAGGTGCATCTGACTCTAATGATATCCTTTGAGAAGGTATCTGTGGGAATTTTAGAAGTAAGAAGATCGTATAGTTTGTCACATGACTCACATCCATAGAGCAATGAACCTGATAAACTAGCCGCTTTTAACATTTTCTTGGCCATCTGTGCTTTCATGGGCATGATTTATCCTGATAATGAAAAGTAAGCACCAGATTTCGCAAATTCAGTAACCATCTCTGCAGAACCTAGGTAAGAATGAAGAATGATGCCATTTGGGAAAAGCCCAATGTCCCCGAGGAAATAAATACATTGTGGTAAGGAAACACATGTACCAGCTAGAGCATGTTGGGCGTACATCAGTGAGCAAGTAGCTAAGATACAAATATCACAAGAAAACATTCAATCTTAAATCCATCGTGCACTTCTATATAGAAGACACTGACAGAGGAAAACTGCCGAAGTTTCTCCAGGCTTGCTTCCCTTCCTAACACTATTTATTAACAACTAAGTACTATATTTTAGAGAAATTACACTGAAACATTTTCCAAATGTTCTCCAATAATTTTGTTTAAGATATAAAATTTTCACATAAAATAAAAATAAAGAATGCCATACTTCACTCCCCGGAGAAGATCGCCAAATGCACGAAAACAATGGATAAATGCTGGCTTTTTCAACTCATTTGCAAGGTCCAGCTGTTGCCGAAATACTTCAATCTGGAAGATAGAACTTAAAAATTTAGAAATCTTTTAGAAAACGCCTAGGAAGCATCATTAAGAGTGAAATGATATTTAATCAATTCAAAATAAAAAATGTTTCCACAAAACTTCTAAGAGGCTCCAAAAAGTTGGGATAGCCACAAATAATATTTGCATGACCACGAAAATAAATATCTTAGAAAAAAAATTAAGTTTCTTAGCCATGCAAAAGAACTAATAACATAAAAAAGAAAGAGTTTATAGAAGGACAGGGACAGGGTAGAGGTAGGAAATGGAATAAAAAGATGAACTCCCTTGACCTCATGTAACTCATCCAATAGGAACAATACCAATAATATTATTTGCACCTGCCAAACAATTCAATGGTGTCTCAAGAACTAATTTTAAAGAAATCTACACTCTTTGAGTTGCAATTTTTGAGACAGAATTATGGCAACAAAGCAAGGACGAATTTCAATGGCGGAAACTGCAAAAGGAAGAACAACCTAAAGCATTAAATCAACAAAATATTGTTGGAGTAAACATGTGTATTATCCAATTAGCACATGAGTTCTCTCACTGTTGCTTTTGCTTAACTAAATTTCATTTACTCATCTACTAACAGAAAATTCCACTTGATAATGAAAGCAAATTATGGGGTGGCGACATGTAAACAGGATGCAGGCCTTCTTGTTACACATGAAGCTGCTTTTTTTGCCTCTAATCTGCATGCACTCACCCCAAGTAAAGAACAAAAGTAATGGCACTGGAGAAAATAGAGGTCTCATCAACAAGTAGCAGTCTTATGGAAAATTTTAATCCAAAATAAATGACAATCAAGTAACAAGAAAACAATAAGAACCTGATCATTAAAATCAATCTCCCTTCCTTTTGAACCTTTGTCCAAACCAATCTGAAAAGGCCCAAAAGCATGATGTTATTAGAGGTGCCCTCAAACACATAGCAATTCAAGCACAATATATGGCATTAGAATCTAGTATGTCACTTTGTCCTTTCCCTGAAGCCTTCTGTTTTAATTTTTATGAAATTAAATAGACTTGGTGAAAAAGAAAGAATTGATTGAGAGCACTGAACCAACTGGGACTTCTCTCATCAAAATACCTGCAAAAATGAAAAGAAAAAACAAAAATTTTAAAAGCCAAAAAATTTGAATTTGCTTCAAAGTTAGATATCTAACAGTTCACTTGACTTTACCAAGGATGAACCCCAAAGCAAGGAATAACAGATGGATACTTATCTCCCATTTCTTTGTCCAAATGCCAATCTTTCTGAACTTTTTTTTTTAATTAAAAACTTAAAAAACAATGGAAAAAGAAAAGCTAACCTTGTTTTATGAACACCTGATCCGATGTTTTTTAGTCCAAGGCCCAAACTTAGAGGCGATAATTGGGCGTGAAGTTAGCGATATTTTTATTTATATGTTTTTTTAAAATGAGATTATAATTTGTTTATTTTTAAAAATAATTGTATAAATTA